GGAGGGGTATGTAGAAGATAGTAGAGATGGCGGTAATGGTGTAATGAGTGGCTATTTACTGAAGCCCACTCCACGTGCCAAAGTGCCGACCGTTTGATGGAAGGTCGGCCCAGAGGGTGGGTGTGGTGGGAAACTTTTTCTATTCTATGCCTAGTCAACGTTGACGTGTCTTACAACTTCGATCCTGATGCGTTAGGAAGGAGAAAAGACAAGAATATGCGATCGCTGTTGTTGAGGAGTCGCTGCGGGATCTCTGCTGCGCGCACCGCACTCGTTCAATAGTCACTTTGTTCTTCGCTCCGTCCACCGGGTCCCCCACTACGAGAAGGATTGAATATGCGAGGTGGAAAACGGAATCTCCCCTCTTCTTTTTTCCCTTTCCTTTTTCCTTTTTTTTTACCCCCAAGATAGCCATCTCTTGCATCAGCTCGAAGGGCAGACGAACGGCGCCAACCAAAAGATAAGCATCGACCCCCCACACATTGGTACCTGAATGTTATTCCTATTCAGTGTGCCCTTAGGTCTATAGTTGTTAAATGGAGTAAGCTTGATCGAATGTCGCCCCAACATCTAACTGGTTTGTCTCTGTTATTATGCCTCCTGAACCCCCGGAATTTTCGCTTTTAGACGCGCCTACTATATATGGAATAGTACAACCCGAAATTGGTGTTATTACACTCTGTACTGTACTGGTGCCTATTTTATTCGTAGTGGCACTCTCCTGGTATTTGAATGAGTTGAACGTCTTTAATCAATTTTGTGCTTCTTCTTGAAATGTAAATTAGTCGAACTACTTCAAACCGTCGTTGAGTGCTTGTTTCAGGTCGAATCTAGCGGTGAGTACCTGGTACTCGCATCTGGATCTGTCAATATTCATGGTCACAATACAAGTTGTGCAGCGGGATATTACTGGTAGGTACGGTACGTTTGGATGGATGTGAGAAAAGCATGGATAGAGAGCGTACAAGGTGTATCGTACCGGGTATGTACGAGTATTGTGTACGAATACTGGGTAAAAGTGCGACGACTTGCATTTCATGGTCGTCTGCTGCTGGTCCGTTCAGAACAAAAGTCGTGCTTTTATCTCGCACCGCGCTCTCGTGTGTCGATCAGCAAATAAGGTGCGAACCGCATATTGAATATGATATATCGTTGTTTTGCAGCCCTACTGTATCTATATGAAGCTCCAGGACAAATTGAACTCCCATGACTGCCTCTGTTGTTAGATTGATGGACTGTTCATCATTGTTTGACCGACATCATTGTTCTTCAATAGATATTTCTGGGATTCTCGTGGTGAATGCTGGCGATTCACTGTTGTTGGGCTCCGGACTCATCATGACCGACACGGATACAGAGAAGCACTCATCAACATGTCGAATCCCTACCGGGTATATGGCTACTAGTGCACGCGAAATGCTTTCCGACTGTTGAGGGTTCTGGGTGTCCCAAGATTCTGCCCCACATATTCTAGCATTATCTCCAACACTTTGGTGTCGATCGATGGAAGCTTTGACAGCCATCATTTAATGGGGGGAGCTCAGCCGTATACTCGACTCGCAATTGGCTTTTGAGACACCGTGATAAAACATGGAAATATGGAGAATGTTGCAGCATAAGATATCCTACTTCACCATTGAGCGAGCGTGGTGATGAATTTAGCTTCCAACGTCATCACGATAATTCAACAACGCTATGAGGACATTTTCAAACTGAAACACTATAGGCAGCCAAGAATGTGAAAGCTATACACAAACAAACATGTCATCCTGCTTTCCCCCAAATAATATCATTCGCTGTTCAACTACAGTTCAATAAGATGGCTTCGAGCGCAGACGCGAGGCAGATCACACGCTGGAGTTCGTTGCAGGACGCTTCTTCAGGCTTGCCACCATCTCTGCCACAATCTCCTCTCCACGAATTTCCCATTCTTCGCGATTGCTTCTGGCATAGTTCTGTATAAGTGGGAGTTGGCGTGTTAGTTGTTGAAGTGTATTGCGTACGAGAATACATTTGTCAACACATCGAACATACCAGAAACTCGTCGCTAGACTTTCCAAATACGCCACAGCTCTCCAGCTTCTTTGCCAATGGGATGATGTAAAAGTCGAAAAAGCCCATCTCGCCCTTGTACCATGTCAAAGCAGGATCCGAGTCGCTTCGACCCTGGACGTACGCCGCATGCATCTCATGAAACAGACGCTCGTTCCACTTTCGGTAAACACTGAAACGCACAACAAAAACAACAAGAGATGAGGAATTGGTAGGACAAGCGGAGAAAGACGCAACAAAGAAATATGGAACGTACTGCCAATGCTGCATCGTATGACTGACATCTGATGCTTGAATCAAGTGCTCAATCACAATCGTTGCCTTCCGATTGATACTCTCACGGCTCTCATTGTCAAGTTCCTCGATGTTACCTTGATTCTTGAATGCCTTGTCCCATCGATTGTTTCGCAAGTTCTTCAAGTCCTTGTCCACGATGTCTGTTGCCATGACTGCGTTCACTGCCAACTCTCGGAATCGGATAATTTCAGCTGGAGTGGCACAAAGGTGCTCTCGAAGGGTTGCAAAACGGTCGCTCATGAAAAGATTCCAGGAAAGCACAAAGCTGTTCTGTTCGGCCACACTACGATTCTCGTACTTGGCCGCGACGACGGCTCCTTCTTTCACCAGCTGAGCATTGGTTACGCCTACACCATAGGAAATAGAACGAGACAAGGTGAGTCGCAAGAAGGCTGTGAAGACTAGTTTCTGATGCATCGGTCAATCATGGCTTACCTTCGTGATCTACATCATGGATCAAAGCAGCAAATGCACAGGCAAATTGAGTCAAAGGATCCGATGTAATGCCGTAAGTATGATCATGCAGGTTTGCTTTCACGTGGAAGGAATCATCGTCAGATTCGTTCTCGTTTTCCATCATTTCAAAGTCGGTCGGAGCTATGATTCTCGATAGCAACTTGATGACGCTCATAGTAACGTGACTTGCATGCTCGAAGTTGTGGAAGGAATTGCATCTGTACAGACTAGCAATTGTACTGATGAAATCGCGCAACTGGGTTGAGACACTGGTTGGGATGTCGATTGTATGTGCATCTTCCTGCGAGTCTTCGACTGCTTGGTCGAATTCCGGAAGCCAAATAGTTTCTCGGACATCGTGAAGTGGCTTGAAGTCGTCCTTCTTCATATCTTCAACAATTCCGAGATCCACAGCCGACAGGTCGTTCGAATCTTTCTTAGCAGCAGCATAGGCATTCCTTCTTGCAACAATCTGCTTGAGAATGTCAGTGAATACAGTCACATTCCAATCGACTAGCCTATCTTCGCGATCGCAAGTATCATCAGGCTGGTTTCCAAATGTTGCATGGAACGATTCTTCGAAACTGGTGTTGCTTCTATCCGAAGTAGACACGGTGTCGGAGCCGGTCCCGGTAGAGTTCCTTGCACTTTGACCAATCCAATACGTTTGGAGATCACCCTTTCCCTTTGCGATGATTGTTCCCTCGCGTTTGACTAGCCAATGACCCTTTTGACACTTTCGTAGATGATCCGCCGTGTCCAATGAAACATGGATTCGACCTGCAGCACCCGTGCTTTCAACTCGAGCTGCCACGTTCATTGTGTCCCCTGCCATTGAAAGTAACAAAAACAAACGTTAGATCAGACTTCGACTTGATTTTTTGAATAGGATGACAAGAAGACAGCTTATCGTACCGAACAATTGGAATCTCGCCTTCTCTCCTCGAATGACACCTGCGGTAACAGGTCCTGAGTGGATACCAATTCGAAGCAACAGGTCTGCAGTGTCGGGTCCAAGTTTGGTTTCCAACGTTTGTGCCATATGCTTCATGGCACAAGATATCTTGTGGGCGTACTTTACCATCAGCACAGCGTGATCTACGGGAGGTCAAGAGAAAACGAGTCAAACATGAGACCAATGATTATACGACGTATCCGACCTCAAAATCAGTATCTTTAAATCTCACCTTTGCGATATGTTGGAATTCCGGTCGCAGCAACATAGCAATCACCGACGGTCTCCACCTTGAAAACCTTGCTGTGTTTGGTGAGGCGGTCAAATTCACCATAGACAGTCTCCAGTAAAGTGAATACTTGCGATGGTTCCCTCACAGATGACCACGCAGTGAAGCCACAGATATCAGCGAACATGACAGTCGTGGTCGCAAAATAGTCGGCAAGCGGTGGTCGCGACAAGTCAGTAAGTGGATCACTCGTTGGATCAAGGAGCTCGTGGAAGTTTCGTGGGTTCTTCCTGTAGCTTTCGTCGCCAATGATCTTGTTGCGAATGTTGTCAGGGAAAAGAGAAGTGATGACAGCATTTGATCTCGCTGCATTCGCTACCAGAGTTTCGTTTCGCTTGTGGACAAACGAATTGTACACGAAGAACACTGCAATCATAAAGGCAAAGGACCCGGCGATGCAAACAGTGTACAAAAGTGGCACCGGTGTCAGATACAAGTTTGCAAACTTGTTGTCGGGATACAAGTGCATCGAGTACATGCAGTGTCCTTGTATGGCTTCAAAATCGGGATGAGTGTGAAGGGCAAGGTTCACAAAGCGCTCGTGTTCAACGAGCCCGGCGTGCTGCATATCCCCTTCTCCGAGATAGAAAGCATCCGGGCCTGAAGTAGAGTTGACAAGTATAGAAGTTAGAAGTTGTCGTCTTTCCAATATAGAATGAGGAATTGAATGAAGATGAATACATACCATTTATTTCGTAGTTAAAGCTCTGACCGCAGCTATTCTTCAGGATTGCATGGATCCCAATCACACTTTCTGGTAGAAGATTCTGGAAAGAGAAATCCCAAGCCATTGGTGAGCCAATGACAGCAACAATTGGACTGTCTGTGTCTTCCGAATCCAAATACACTGGAGTGAATACAAAGCTATGAGGAAATTCTGTCGAAGATCCTTCAATCTCACTGTGCATGGCAGCATGTTCTTCATTGGACAATGTTAGCTCTGCGGTTGCATAAGGTCGAACTTTTGATATCAAGGGCTCAGTATGTTTCAATACTTTGATAGCCTCCACGATATTTGCGTAGTCAGGAACACTGGCCACATTCCAATTGAAGGCTCCGTACGAGAACATGGGTGGCGAAAAGTGCCCCAAGGGAAAATAAACTTCGCGATCAATATCTTCAACAAATCCTGTTTTTGAACCCACAGTGAAAAACGATTTGTATCCGACTGGGTTCAAATCGTCCAGATTGCCATTTTCGATCATGTGTGCTTCGTAGACAATCTGTTCGTAGTTGTTGTCGGCATACTTCAAATAGGTTTGTTTGTTTTCTTTTGTCACGAGGGGGAACAAAACAGTGGCTTCTGCTCCAGAAATCTTCAATATGTGCTCGGCATAGGCCCCAAACTTCGGGAGATGCACGAAGGGCCAAGTCTGGTTGGTTGCAGCAGCGTAGTCAGAGATGATTGTGGCAAAGGTACGGAAGCCCTCGCTAATGTCTTGCTGCTGCCGAATGGCGGTCTCAGCGAGGGCTTCAGAGAACTGATCGTACTGTGAACGGGAAGAAGATGAGACAAAGTCATGGGTACACCGGCGTATATAGTGGTCATGAGATTACGTACCGCGAGGTTCAAAGCCTTTTGTTCCTCCAGGTGCAAAAAGTGGAATGTGAGTCCACACACTGCCGTCCCGATCACTGAAATCAGAGATAGTAGAGCCGAGCGCCAAAGTTGGACATGGCGATCCGCGTTACGAGAACGATTGCGGATCTCTTGAACTTCATCTCGTTTTGCAGCAGATGATTCTTCGTCGGTATCAGAATTGTTAGACACACTTTTGATTTTCCTGGTACCAGCCCTCAGATCTTCATGATCATCCAAGTCCAGGCTCGTACTATCTAGATGTCGCATTTTTTCACTTGACGCAGCAGATTGCAAGAAACTTGGTATCATGCTAAATCTTTGTTTTCTGAGATTTGTGAGAGTTTCCTCTTGTGTGGGATCATTTTGTTTGTATTGAACGCGGACTTTGGTGGGGGAACTTTTATCCCGATTCTTGGCCGGAATGTCGTTTGGTCCAATCAAATCAAGTAAAATCATTATGCTTTCTGTTTGGGTTTCCGGTGGATTTCCAGCATGGCGTCGTTTCCAGTGATTTTTTTATCATTAAGCACCATGCCTTTTAATGACCTGATGAAATGCTTCAGTTCTATATCCAAGGATGTGGGTTTTTAATCCATGCAGAACAATCCGACATTTTACACCAATGAAAAGGGCAGCCGATCAATAATGAGACTTTTCGGCTCGTGTACGCAGTAACGTTGTCTTTTCTTTAAAAAAAAAACAGGAACTGTCCGAATCAAATGCAAAGGTGACGGCAAAGCTGCTTTGTTGTTCATCTCAACACTGCTTTTGTCTAACAAATGCTGCTGGTGGTGCGTATACGAAAGAAATACTTCGTCTGCCCTCCATGCAATTTGCGACTTCGACGAGGTGCAAGTCGCCAGGAAAGTCAAACATGATCTCTTACACTGGAAAAAACATAACAACAATATCACTGAACTAGTATCACTGGAATAGATTACTCCATATTGACGTGGATTTTAAAATGAACACCACCATTGAGGACAAGACGCATTCAAATGCAAATACTGTACACCCAAAAGAAAATTCGCCCTCCGGCCAAACAAGCAACGACCAGCAGGCATTTTACCAAAACTCAAGCAGCCAGTATCTCAAGCAGGCAGTACAGTATCTAGATCGGTTTTGCATTCAATCGTTGCAATGAGCGATTTGTCAGCTGCCAGGAGCAGCCAGACTCCGAAAAGCCACGTACCCGGTATTGATGATCAGAGCGCACTACAGTATTAGTATGCTACAGATGTCAAATGATTTCGACTCTGGTACTGGTACCTGGTACGTTGTTCCAGGTACACGTACGTGTATTACTGATTACTGGTATGGTACACTCTACAGTATGGTAACTCTACAGTATGGTACAGTATTGCGTCCTGTATGTAGATTATTGGACTTTTTGAATCTCCCAAGGCGGCGGGCAGCTCCCGTCATGAGTTTTGCCACGTACACGTGTACGAGTAAAGAACCTTTCATGCGCGCACCGCTTCTATTATATCATCAACATCCATTGATTGCGATAATATTACTGCACGAATAAGCCAGTAATGGCAAAAGCTTTCTTGCCTTCATCTTCCACCATAAGAAAAAATGATGCATAGCTACGACAATATCTGCACCTTATTGTCATCTCTGATTTTTTCTACGAAGTGATTCGATAGCACGCTGCGGTTTCTTCGGTCTCGTCCACGATCATTATTGTCTCAAACACCAACAGTGGTTCTGAAATAGTTGTGCTCGCACGGCTTTTGGACTCCCAGGCCGTTCCGAAACGGATGATATTTGAATTTTTCGGCTGAAGCTGTTGCTATTGTTGTTTGTATAAGGCCCTGCCGCAGTATACCTACAGTATCATCTGATGTTTGCCAACAGAGCAACAATAAGTCTGTCATTCTTGCACGGCAAACGCTTATTAGTATGTACCGAGCTCATCAAACAAGTGCCAATATTCATCAAAACCCCAGATAATGCACATGACGCTAACCGTAAGAGACGAAAAGATGAAAGCAGATGCTGCGACAAGCTTCTTTGGTACACTGAATAATTTCTGAGCTCCGATTGGAGTTCAAGTCTGGTCGCCATGCTGTTTGATCCAACAAATGGTTGCTTTGGGTGACCTTTTGGGGTCAACAAAGGTCTCTAGCTGCAGATAAGTTGGCTAGGGCAAGAACTATGGGCTATGTTGGTATCTATTACGATTCCTAAAGGTTGGCTCAATAACTCTTCTCCTTGCACAAACAAGACTATACACCTTTCGCATGGTGGCATCATCACTCTTTCACTTATTCTCGGCGTCCCATGGAGCCCTCGTGGAAGTGTATCAGTCAGTCCTACGTAAGTGCGCAATATCCTCTTTGAAACTATAGCCTTGGACACAAGATCTCTAGTGTGCGCTGTTGACATGGGCCAAATTCGAACCCGAACTCCCAATTCAAAATCTGGCACAATTCAGAGGTTGGTGTATTGGTGGAACCCCCAAGGCGCGAACAGAAAACAGCATCGCACCGCTCTCTTCTCTGGGTGCAGTGAAAACGACTGAGCCAATTCCTAGAATAAGTTTCCGACCATTTCACTAGCAACGCCGGCCGACAAGAGGCGTTGATTTGGGATATAGTTGCCGGTTTGCTGTCTCGTTCGTCAGGTCACCGCATGGCCAGTACACGTATATGTAGAGAAGGAAAACACTCAACAATACACACCAAAGCATGCAATGGGGTCACAATAAGGATCCGCCAGAACAAGTGATTGACGGGATGGACTGTGAAGCTACATTTACTGATATGTTGGATTTGTTGGTGTCGTATGTTCGTGGCTTTCTAGGTTCCTACACGACAATGCCCATCGCCGTCTAGACTGAGCCAAATAATCGGCATTAGTGGACTCCATAAGAACAGAAGTTGGAATCAGATGATATTGCATTGATATATTAAATGCGTTCTGAGCTGCGATTCAAGTTGAAGTTTTGCCTCAATCATGCCACAATCATCCACTTTTGATCGATTGAACCGTTTGATGGAACGCTTTATTGCAGCGTATCCTTTGGGCTCCATACTGTAGGAATGAAACCCTGAAAAAATCAAGATTCCCCACGTGTCCTCCACTGTTAAGGAAGTACTGAGCAACTATCTACCAGGGGAGGGACTTTGGGGAGAACCCCACTGTTTCAATTACAAATCGTTTTGGACTATTTTGTTGTTGTTGTTGTTGTTGTTGTAGCAAGTTTTCGAAAAATGGTGATATTTGTTGGAACTCCTCGATTGATATTTGGGTCCTCATAGCACTGCCCCTTTTATAATGTGGATGATATGCTTCGATTACAGCTCTGAATATTTTGGACATAGTGAAAAAGGTAACGAGCCATGGCTGGATTCTTGATATAATGAAAGTTGACAGTTTCGGATGAGCAACTTTTATTCCCTATCAAAATTTCACCCCAGTGCTTTATGAAATCATAATACCAGAACTTTTTCTTATACCCTTTGTAGGAATACTCAAAATCCGGCATCCAATGATGAAATCGCTCCCGCATTTGATTGTCTCGTGTGTCCTCGAAAGTGATATTGCAGGCATATTCCAAGCAAATTCCTGTCATGACATCCTCCCCGGCTGTCCTCAAACTTGGTTTGCAAACATCGTCCTCCAAGTGGTCGAGTAAGCACTGGAGGGTCGGTCGCGAGAGGACATAGCCACCCCCTCCAGTATTGAAGCCCACCTCTTGGCCCAGCTCCTTTCCTTTGAAGCGTCTCCCGAGATAGTGAGTTTCGCTAGAATTCATGGTTCCAAGATAGTTTTTCAAGTTTTGTGGGTAGACCACAAGGTCATCGCCACCCATGTAGAACCAATCGAATTCCGATAGATAGTGTTTCCCAACAAATTGAAAAATACTCCGAATTTTTTGCCACATGTTGCCGTACTTTTCTCTCCCCAAATGCGGAATACTAATGGCAGGTATGCGAGGATCAGACTTTGTCGAGAAGGCAAGGTAACCATCACAGCCTGGCGCCCATGTTTCCCGCTGTGCTCGAATCGAGTTGGCATGCTTCCCCTCCACGGTATATACAAAACAGAAAATTTTGTTGTCCGTTGTTTCTGGCGTTCTCGAAATTGGCGCTCCAACTATCTGTGCCTCATCCAATAATTTCCTCGTGGTGTCGCTACTTTTCACCATATGGCATAGTTCGCTTGGTAATGGAGGAGGCCAAGGCCTCCCATTGGCATCGTGACCATCCAAAAACATTCGACGCAACATGGTGACATCAGGGATCCAACCCTCCCCAGGATCAAGAGAGGACATGTTTCCGCCTGGTACACCCTCAATATAATCCTCCTGGGAATCGCGACAAAATTTGCAATTCTCGTGCTTCTTCGCACTACATTCCACCCAGGAACAATCCATTGCATGTGGTTCTGGTTGCCATCCATACCAATGGTTCACAACAGCATGAGTGCCATTGATATAATATATATTGTTCGCGGACAGATTTTGGGTGCTAGCATGATACGACGACGATGGTGACAAGTTTATGTGATCCGCTGTTGAATCATTATGATGGGATGACGTTGATGACGCGGCGGCGTATTCAGATGAATAATCTTTGTTCTCGGAAAGGTCTTTGGATTCAGCAGGAGATGATGATGCTGATGCTGATGCTGACGGTGATGCTGACGGTGATGCTGATGCTGATGCTGACGCCGATGAATTGTTTGTGTATTCAGATGCGCTATTCAGCACTCTGGTATTCTCTTTGTATTGCGATGAGTCACCGCGATCTTGTTCTTGCGTTGAAGCAGATGCTTCCCACTGTGAAGCACCGTAAACCCGCAACTTTCGTGAGTTACCAAAAAAGTAGAGAGCGACTAGACCACAGAGTCCCAAATATCCAAATAAACGTTTTCCACCCATTCTAATTCGTTCCTTCGGTAGGTCAAACAAATACAAATGGCTTGTTTGCTGGGAATTAATCTTATGCTGTATAATATTCACAGCTTTGATCTGCTGAGCAAAATCAAAAGTGACGTCGTTATATAGTGCGGGCGGGCGTGGTTCTGTTTTGTTCCCATATCATAATATCAAGAATCGCGTAACTTATTAGGATCAAATCCAGAATCAGCTGAGCACTTTTGGGCAATGCTACTATATGGTACCGGTAGAGGATATTTTTCAATATTGCATGCAAGGTTGTTCCGAACCTGGATCTTCAACAAAAATATTGTGCACAAGCGCTATTAATATACAATACCTGAGTTTAATTATGACTATAATATACCGCTACCGGTACCGGTAGATTCAAGATGATAGATGACAGGCAATGGATGACATTGAACATACAGCATTGTTCGTACGACCTATTGTGATCAGCGATAGACAGAGGAGTGGATGTGTTTGGTTCATTAATTCGGCAAATAAGGCTCCGGAATCCCAAATTTCGCTAGAGCAAAACAGAAACGCAAAGCAGAATTGGATGCTCGTGAGAATTGGACTGGTCAGAAGAAGGTTGTTCATGTCGAAATGATATTACAGTACTAAAGTTCCAAGAAAAATCCGTCTTTCCCAAGAATCGCACCATTGTTACAAATCAATCGTTGATGGCTTGGGTTCAGTGCGTGCATAGTGGAATGACTTTCAGGGCCAAAAGATGGAAGAGATGGCGCCGCTTGAAGTAAAGCGCCTCACCGGATACATGAATTTGCTAATGCGCCTCTCCTATGCCTTGGTGGTTGTGTTTGGTGGTCAGTTCATCTTGGAACTCGTCGAAACAAGTGACCTCCGCATCCTAGCTACAGTCTACTACGGCTTGCACCAAGAGAGCAGTCAGCAATCAACTTTTGAGGGTTGGACACGAGGAATACCTATACTAGTGCTCACAGACTCAGAGGTACTGGTGGAGCAGCGGAAGTTCTCAGAGGTAGATGTTCAACACTATGGGGTGTCGCAGTTCTTGAACGGGTGGCTTTGCTATCAAGAACTGTAGGATACTGATGTATATGTTATTGTGTGGCATCTGAGAAACCTGGACCTATCAAATCGACTGATTTTCTCTGTATGTAGCAGTTCTCATCCTTATATATGTTCTTTCCGTAGTGGTTGACAATCCAATGTGGTGGAAGCTATTCAATCTCAAAGCTATGATCCAACAGTTGAATCCGAGATATTGATGAGACAACGTATAGAGTGAATGCCAGCTTTTGACAATTTCGCCCGAACTTCAAACCTTCGACCCAAGAAGGCAATGCTCCGGATCGATTGGCTGAGTCATTCATTCGTTCAGCCACGCACCTTACTACTGTCCCGCTACAAGAGTGCATCTCAACTAAGAAACCAGAAACTCTGTGCCAAATGATGTATAGAGTGCGGTCACTGTGAATACTAAAACACTGTCGATGATCGCTCGTCATCGTCGAATAAACAATAAGCGGCATATATATCGATGGGAAAATTCGTTCGTGATATATTTTCCGGTATATAGGATGAAACTATATCACTTCCAAAGCCTGCGAACGCTACATGCCGGGGAATATACAAAACATCTAACATACATCATCATTATTTCCCCCTACTATTTTTTATAACATCTGCAATAAAAATGAATTCCAATTCCCCAGTCCTAGCAGAATCGAACAGAAGTATGGTCGAGTAAAACGGCTCCGGGAGTAGAGCTTGCGACTGAAGACTCACTCATTGAGGCCCGCCACCATCTCTGCCACAATCTCTTCACCCCGAATTTCCCATTCTTCGCGATTGCTTCTAGCATAGTTCTGAATGGGCAGGAGTTGTGTGTGAGTTGTTGAAGTGTATTGCGTACGAGAATACATTTGTCAACACATCGAACATACCAGAAACTCGTCGCTAGACTTTCCAAATACGCCACAGCTCTCCAGCTTCTTTGCCAATGGGATGATGTAAAAGTCGAAAAAGCCCATCTCGCCCTTGTACCATGTCAAAGCAGGATCCGAGTCGCTTCGACCCTGGACGTACGCCGCATGCATCTCATGAAACAGACGCTCGTTCCACTTTCGGTAAACACTGAAACGCACAACAAAAACAACAAGAGATGAGGAATTGGTAGAACAAGCGGAGAAAGACGCAACAAAGAAATATGGAACGTACTGCCAATGCTGCATCGTATGACTGACATCTGATGCTTGAATCAAGTGCTCAATCACAATCGTTGCCTTCCGATTGATACTCTCACGGCTCTCATTGTCAAGTTCCTCAATGTTAGCTTGATTCTTGAATGCCTTGTCCCATCGATTGTTTCGCAAGTTCTTCAAGTCCTTGTCCACGATGTCTGTTGCCATGACTGCGTTCACTGCCAACTCTCGGAATCGGATAATTTCAGCTGGAGTGGCACAAAGATGCTCTCGAAGGGTTGCAAAACGGTCGCTCATGAAAAGATTCCAGGAAAGCACAAAGCTGTTCTGTTCGGCCACACTGCGATTCTCGTACTTGGCCGCGACGACGGCTCCTTCTTTTACCAGCTGAGCATTGGTTACGCCTGCACCATAGGAAATAGAACGAGACAAGGTGAGCCACGACAATATCGACGATTCTATAGCACATCGATCAATCATGATGGCTTACCTTCGTGATCTACATCATGGATCAAAGCAGCAAATGCACAGGCAAATTGAGTCAAAGGATCCGATGTAATACCGTAAGTATGATCATGTAGGTTTGCTTTCACGTGGAAGGAATCATCGTCAGATTCGTTTTCGTTTTCCATCATTTCAAAGTCGGTTGGAGCTTTAATTCTCGAAAGCAACTTGATGACACTCATAGTAACGTGACTTGCATGCTTGAAGTTGTGGAATGAATTGGATCTGTACAGACTAGCAATTGTACTGATGAAATCACGCAACTGGGTTGAGACACTGGTTGGGATGTCAATGGTATGCGCATCTTCCTGCGAGTCTTCGACTGTTTGATTAAACTCGGGAAGCCAAATGGTCTCTCGGACATCGTGCAGTGGCTTGAAGTCGTCCTTCTTCATATCTTCAACAACTCTAAGATCCACTGCCGACAGGTCGGCCGAATCTTTCTTAGCAGCAACATAGGCATTCCTCCTTGCAACAATCTGCTTGAGAATGTCAGTGAAAACAGTCACATTCCAGTCGACAAGCCGATCTTTGCGATCGCCAGCATCATCAAGCTGGTTTCCAAATGCAGCTGGTGTCGCTTCTTCCAAGCTGTTATTGCTCTTCTCTGATACAGACGCTGTCTCGGAACCGGTACCGGTAGACTCCTTACCACTCCCAACTGCTTTGCCAATCCAATACGTTTGGAGATCACCTTTTCCCCTTGCAACGATGGTTCCCTCGCGTTTTACTAGCCAATGTCCCTTGTGACACTTTCGCAGATGCTCCGCCGTGTCCAGTGAAACATGGATTCGACCTGCAGCCCCCTTGCTTTCAACTCGAGCTGCCACGTTCATTGTGTCCCCTGCCATTGAAAGTAACAAAAAGAAACGTTAGATCATCTTCGGATGTCGGGATAGTAGCAAGAAGACCGCTTATCGTACCGAACAATTGGAATCTCGCCTTCTCTCCTCGAATGACACCTGCAGTAACGGGTCCCGAGTGGATACCAATTCGAAGCAACAGGTCTGCAGTGTCGGGTCCAAGTTTGGTTTCCAACGTTTGCGTCATATGTGTCATGGCGCGAGATATCTTGTGAGCGTACTTTACCATCAGCACAGCGTGATCTATATGAGGTCAAGAACAAAGATGAATCAAACATGAGACCAAAGCTTCGTCGTATTCGGACTCAAAATCGCTATCTTTGTATCTTACCTTTGCGAAATGTTGGAATTCCGGTGGCGGCGACATAGCAATCGCCGACGGTCTCGACCTTGAAAACTTTGCTATGTTTGGTGAGGCGATCAAATTCACCATAGACAGTCTCCAGTAAAGTGAACACTTGGGATGGTTCCCTCACAGATGACCACGCAGTGAAGCCACAGATATCAGCAAACATGACAGTCGTGGTCGCAAAATAGTCGGCAAGTGGTGGTCGCGACAAGTCAGTAAGCGGATCACTCGTTGGATCAAGGAGCTCGTGGAAGTTTCGTGGGTTCTTCTTGTTATCAGAGCTTTCGTCGCCAATGATCTTGTTGCGGATATTGTCGGGGAAAAGAGAAGTGATGACAGCATTTGATCTTGCTGCATTCGCTACCAGAGTTTCGTTTCGTTTATGGACAAACGAATTGTACACGAAGAACACGGCAATCATAAAGGCAAAGGACCCAGCGATGCAAACAGTGTACAGAAGTGGCACTGGAGTCAGATACAGGTCAGCAAACTTGTCATTGAGATACAAGTGCATAGAATATCGACAGTGTCCTTGTGTGTCTTCGAACTCTGGGTGTGTGTGAAGTGCAAGATTCACAAAGCGCTCGTATTCATCGTACTTGGTTTGGTGCATATCCCCTTCTCCGAGGTAGAAAGCATCCGGGCCTTGAGAGAAAATGACAATACGTGAGAAAGTGATATTTCCTTCAGCGTCATGAGACTTCAGTACTAATACACACCATTGATTTCGTAAGCAAAGCTTTGGCCGCAGCTATTCTTCAGGATTGCATTGATACCGACCACACCTTCTGGGAGAAGGTTCTGGAGAGAGAAGTCCCAACCCATTGCCGAACCAATTATGGCAACAATTGGACTGTTTGTGTCTTCTGATTCCAAATGCACTGGGGTGAAGACAAAGCTGTGGGGGAAGTCCGTCGAAGATCCTTCAATCTCACTGTGCATTGCGGCATGTTCCGCATTCGACAACGATAGTCCGGCTGTGACATAGGGTCGTACTTTCGATATCAAAGGCTCATGCTTCAAAATCTTAACGGCTTCAAAGACACTAGCGTAGTCAGGAACACTGATCGCATTCCAATTGAGAGCACCGTATGTAAACATCGGTGGCGAAAAGTGCCACATGGGATGGTAGAAGTCGCGATCAATGTCTTCAACGAACCCATTCGCTGTGCCGACAGTTAGAAACGATTTGTATCCCACTGGGTTCAGATCGTCCAAATTGCCATTTTCGATCATGTGTGCTTCAGCGACTATGCGTTCGTAGTTGTTGTCGGTGTAGTTCAAATAGGCTTCTTTGTTTTCTCTTGTGACCAGTGGCAACAAGGTACAGACTTCTGTTCCAGCAATCTTCAAGACATGCTCAGCATAGGCCTCAAACTTCGGGAGATCCACAAATGGCCAGATCTGGTTGCTTGCATCAGCGTAGTCAGAGATGATTGTGGCAAGGGTTTGGAACCCCTCGCGAATATCTTCTTGTTGGCGAATAGCCGCTTCAGAGAGGGCGTCAGAGAACTGATCGTACTGTGAACGAGCGGAATGATGAAGAAGGTTAAAGAAAATGATGGGTACAACGGCGCGTATCGGTCTTAAGATTACGTACCGCAAGATTCAATGCCTTCTTTTCCTCCTGTTGCAAAAAATGGAAGGTGAGTCCAGATACAGTCGCTCCGATCACTAGAATCAGAAAGAGTAGAGCCAATCGCCAGACCTGGACACTGCGATCTTCGTGACGAGAGCGATTGCGGATCTCTTGCACTTCATCGCGCCTTTCAGATGCTGATTCGTCGGTTTCAGAATCATTGTGAGACGAAAGTCTGGACTTTCCACCAAGATCTGCTGGGACAAGAATTGGGTCTTCACCATCCAAGTCAAGGCTCCTATTATCAAGAGGTTGCATGCTTTCGTTGGATACAAAAGATTGCGACAAACTACGCATCATTTTACGGTATGCAAAATCTTTGTTTTCCGAGATTGCTGCGGTCTTTTGTGAGTTATTGAATGGAGAAGATTCGCACTATAATAGTGGGACATGTGCTCGATGGAAAGGCGAAAGTAACGAAGCGAAAGCAAACGAGCTGGGTGCGATCCATGCTTTTAACGCCACAAATAGACTTGTTCTCTTTCGCATTTTCTTTGGTTTTTTAGACATACCACAAGTTGGTTTGTAATTGCCAAGCAATGAGAACCCATAGAAATAGGCCACGGCCTACGCATGTTTAAAATATATGAATTCTGAAAGAAGCTTGATGTATTCTAAAAATATTCTTCCGGTTAACGACGAAATTTCTTTTTTGTTCAACAGTGCTGTCGTTTGTGGCGTAGTTCAATAAGCGATCGCTACTAAACTTTTAGAGTTTCTATTGGTCATAGTCATTCAGAGAATAATTAATCTCTCGCGACTCTATTTGGCGTTCCCTTGCACCATTCGATTGAAGGAAAATCAGACGCTGCTGCAAACGCTTCTGTAGCTAAAGTGCAAAATGACCTCGCTTCATTCGGCCTGAAAAATAACAGTCTCAAGTGTCTCTTCTGTTCGGCACCCAGCTTTCTTGGCTACATCGGTACAAGTTAAAAGTAATAGTTCATACAAGTGAATGCCAGTCACGTCGTGCAATGCTCTTGGTACTCCCGCCCAAGTGATTACCGCGGTAGTCCGAAGAGTTGTTGTAATGTTTAAAATGCGCCGCACAGGTGCTGGCTCACAATGATGATGATTTGTTTTCATCGTACTCGTAACAGGTACCAGGCACCTATCAATACCAGAGTCCGGCAATTACGCAGTACTGGACAGTACCAGGTACTACTGTTGTACCTGCTACTATGGTACTGTATCTTGAATCTTGTCATTCGACAAACAATTCGAACACAGCTGGACCATTTCTCCCCCGTATAATCCCCATTTTCGCCTAAACAGCAAAGTTTCGAAGTTCCTTTTCTGCGCGTGCACGACGCGAATGGAGCGGTGCGCATATTTGACCAATATGAGTTTGAGAGTGCGTCGTCCCTCCGTCGTCACCACACGGTACGAGTACATCCGAGTCTGATCAGAACAGTTATGTGCGTTTGTTCTTCTCTTTCGTGGGAATTTTGAAACTGCTGACGACAGTTGAAATGATGAGGCAAACAAAGAAATCTGCCGGAAAGAATACTGTGCTGTAAAAATTAGAAATTCATTGGCACAAATAGAAGCGAAACGATGAAGGTGACATCGCTTCATCTACATTACCTCGCACTAGTTGCTTCAACCAGAGCTTTTACAACAACACTCTTCCCCAATCGTCACCATGTTACTGTGAATTCCAAAGCCAAGAACAGTCAAAGAAGCAGGCTTCAGATGACAGCTACTGCCAGCACCAACAGCACGTCTGAAGCAAGTCCTCTTCTTCCCAATATTGTTTCCGATATTGAATATGTGAATGCCGTAGATGGACTTACGGAAGACGTCAAAATCCCATCCCCAAAACACATATTATGGAAGGTCGAACTTGTGGACCGCGTCTTTGACGATGTCAACCGTGCCACCTACCCAAATCCACTTTCCCTGAAACCGAACACTCCAACCTCGTGGTTTGTCGATGACGATGATCTTGTCGCAGCGAAGGTGAACGTGGCAGCTTCCGACACTGACCTAGATAAGGGAATCAAAGCTGAAGCCTATACATTGGCTGGTCCTCGGTTTGATATTGCCTTTGATCCGAAGCAGTGCAAAGCAGCTGTCGTAACCTGTGGAGGGCTATGTCCCGGTGAGTCCGATTATGTTAGGTCTAGGACGATTGATATTATGGTCCCACAAATGGTATTCTGACACTTTTGCATCACTATTTCAACGTAATCCGATCATACCATGCTATATACGACCATAGGGCTGAATACGGTAGTCAGAGAAATTGTCATGTGCCTCCGTCGTCAATATGGAGTTTCCACTACATATGGCATTCCTTCGGGATACCGAGGCTTTAAGGATCCCACTACCTGGATTCCTTTGGATGAAAAGGTGGTCCGCAACTTTCACAACATGGGAGGATCCTTCTTGGGAAGTTCCAGGGGTGGTCATGACACCAAGGCCATTGTCGATTCGTTGGAAAAGGAAGGAATCAATTTATTGTTTGTGACGGGCGGAGATGGAACAGTCCGAGGTGCCGGTATGTTGCTGTCTGCTTGCATTTACGTCGATTGCAGCATAATATTGACGTGTTATTGTCGCAAAAATGAAAGACCTCTAACAGATTCGTCAAATCCTTCTATAGCCCTAATCGCAGATGAAGTTCGAAATCGTGGATTGGAAATCGCCGTCGCGGTCATTCCCAAAACCATTGACAATGACATTCCTCTCATTGACCGAACCTTTGGATTTGAATCTGCCGTCAATGCGGCCCGGCAGGCTATTGATGTGGCGGTCACCGAAGCCGAAGGATTTCCGTACGGTCTTGGGATTGTCAAGGTGATGGGACGACATTCCGGATTCATTGCCATGCATTCCACTTTGGGATCGAGAGTGGTGGATTTGTGCTTGGTTCCTGAAGTTGATTTCTATTTGGATGGAGAAGGCGGTATTGTCGATCATTTGGCGGACCGTTTGTTGGAAAATGGAAATGCCATTGTGGTAGTCGCAGAAGGTGCTGGACAAGAACTCATGGCTACCATGGGGTCGCATGGAGCTGACGAAGTGGATCTATCGGGGAATAAATTATTGGATGATGTGGGTCCATGGTTGGTGAAACAACTCAAGCCACGATTGAATGAAAAACTAAAGGGCAAGACACCCTACGACGATGGAGTCACCTGCAAATATGTGGATCCATCGTACATGGTTCGTGGAATTCCACCCACCACGGCCGACAATTTGTTTTGCACCCAACTGGCGCACAATGCGGTCCACGGTGCCATGGCTGGGATGACTTCCTTTTTGGTGGGATCCGTCAATACCCGGGAATGTTACCTTCCCATTCGGTTGGTGGCCAACAAGCAAAACGTGATTGATACTGCCCATCAATCCTTGTGGGAATATGTTGTATTTGATACCCAACAACCAAGTTTTGCAGTGGAAAACGACTGCCGGGACGAAAATGATATCATTACCACCGCTTCGGGTGGTGTCATTTTTCGGAATAGTGATGATGAATGCAGCATCTAATGATTGAATTATTTGTTTTAAAAATAATTGGAAACTGCTACAACACAGGTTGATGCAAAAGACCACTTTTTTGTGGAAGTTGCTGTCAGAATAGATACTATGCATAGATATGGAACGTAATAAAAAATGTTGACTATATAGATGCTACACCTATAGTCTTGTCCGATGGCCGCGATGATGATTTGCAGAAATCATGAGAAAGCAACCCGAGGATGAATGAATATTGACAAAATACAAACCCCACAAAATAGAATTATAAGTATTATAAGTATAGTCTCATAGCAATAACTTGTTGTTATCTAATATCTAATGTATAATAGAATGCAACTGTACAAAATTGTCGTAGCAACAGGATTCATCACCCCCACATTCCCAGTGTTGTTTAGAAACCCCAGTGTTGTTTAGAATGCACCATCCATATCCAAATCTGTAGCAGACATAGTGTCGCTGACACCAGTCCTTACTGGCACAAGGATCCGTCAAAGCAGACGCGCAAGAGATTGTTGCTTATGCTCCATAGAAATGGTGCCAACACTAGGAGATTCCTCGGCCAAACGACGCGCATTGCGTTCTCCTTCTGGCTTTAAGCATTTGTCTGGAAATTGGGGATGCGAGCTTTCGTGAAAGAGCCTTGGTTCGTACGGAAGTACTTGCCACTCATCACCCAGCTCCACCAGGTCCTCCATGCCAGTGACACCATCCCGGGCATAGGTCTTTCCAGTCTTACAGTCACCAAGAAGACCAACCGTATTGCCAAAGATGGATTCGTCTCCATTGAATCGAACACGGACAAACTCCTTGTAGGTTTCCACAGTAATGTTTTGTCCTGTGGAATACTTGTCGGAAAAATCAATCGTATACGAACGTTTGTAGGAGGCAGTGGAGGATAGCTCTTGGGTTACTGGAAATCCAGCAACATTTTCGAGGTGTCCTTGATACTCGTAATTGGACCAATAGTGAGGATGAGCCCCGTCGTCATCGCCTTCTTCCGTATCCGCAGAACCTTCAATCTCTAGAATGTCATCGCCAATCTGAATGGCAATACTTTGAATGTAGGACCAGTATCCAACAATCTTGGTACGAATGTGAACCTGCAACCCAAGGCCTTGGGCAAATACTTCGTCTTTCATCATCACAAGGTCACATTGACCATGGTGTTCGTACCAAGGCGTGATGTATTGAAGTTGCCGGCGACTGTTCAGGTGTCCTGCTGAAACATTCTTATTGCTGGCTAATAGTAGTAGTAGTACTAAGAACAAAAGGGGGGCCACGGTCGAAGGGAGATGATTCATCGTGCTGACAGCGGTGCAAGGGCGTGTTTTCTTTTCTTTTGGTGCGCAAACTTGGTGCAGCAGAATACTTGTACAACGCAATGAACCGCAGCAGAAATATAAGAACCTCTCCTATTGAAATTCAGTGCGCTCGCGATTTTTCATTGAGGTTCACCAAAAAACTAGGCGGAACCAAGGATTGATTGGAACCAGTGGGATTCTTTCCCCCCTAAATTACAGAACAATAACGAAAACGTTCAATTAACGCGCTGTGAGAACGCGCCGGCCACTCAACCTTTTATACGAAATTCCCACAGATGCTTGTGTGACCAGTCGCCTTTTAACGCGTGTTTTCAACCTGATCAAAAAACTTGTTCCTCAAAAACTATTTTCGAATTTGGGAGAGTCTCACGCTCCATTGTGGGTGTGATGGACGGACGGTCGTATAGTACTGCCAAGAGTATAGTACATACACGTGTACCAGTATCTCTCCAAATTGGCGACGAGATATTTTTATAGTTAGTAAGATCGACCAGGACAGTACTATAGAGCCTCCCATCCAGGCACCGTAGTGAAGATCGTTTCATATTCTTGTATTCGTCACCATGCATTTGCCTAGTACTAGTAGATGTACTAGCCGCAAGCCTATTGATTCATTCATTCAATTTCTTACCGCTTAGCTAGAATTATATGTGTGAGTGATATACCAGTATATCGTAACAGCAAATACCACCAATGGATTTACAGTACTCTAAACTACCATAAAAGAAAATGGCTCATGTTGTTATATTTTGCATCTGTTGATCTTTATATTTTTGTATTTTTATTGATGCATACAGCCATGATCTTGTGTTCGGTTGCATCATCGATGCATAATATTTTGATTCAAGTTGTTGTCTTCGCATTTTCTTTGATTCAAAGAATCATTAGTATATCGTGTCATGCATACATGTATTGTACGGTGTTCATTTTATTGATGCGTTCGAGGGACAATCACCTCTTTTGTTTCATTTTTCGTTGTCATATTATTGGTTGTTTCTTCGTTTTGACTTTTGTATCTCTTGATGCATATATACAATAGTGGTGTAGATGTACTGAATTGTGTACATTCTACGGCATGCCTTCTACATACTCTTTTGGGACTTTTTTCACCCAAAAAGAAGCATTGAAGTACATACTGACTTACGCGATTCTTGGACCACAACAGCTCGAACTTAGAGCTGAAGCAGGATCAAACGGTAGCGGTCAAAGGACGTGAACTCTCTTTTGATTTCGTTCAGCCTTGGTGGAAGGATAAGTGTGTCCGTAACCACGCAAAGATCTTTCATGGAAGCGCGCTCCTCGTCTCCAGGTGTTCTTGACATTTGTCAGTTGCGAGTGCAATAGTGTTGGCCAACATTTTCTGACAAGTCAAGAGCACTGAAAAGAAGAAGATTGTTTCGAGAAAGGTCGCATGCGGAAGCGGGGTACGGGTTGGCGATCTCTACGGAAGATCGATGGACCATCGACTTCCATTTCATCAGTATCGACTTGCATCCAGTCAATTTCAGGTAGGTCGATTTCCATTTCATCAAAATCAACTTGCATCCAATAAATTTCCGGTAGATCAATGTCCATTTCGTCTTGGTCAACTTCCATCGCATTGCAGTCGATAGAAAGTCCGGAGAACCGTCTAGCAAGCTCGGTTACAGAAGCATTGCTTGTGGCGAGTTCCGAAGAAGGATGGAGCGAAAGGTAAGTCGCCATCATTTCAGCTTCAATTTCGTCTCCAGCAGCATCGAGACCTTGAGATTCCGAGACGAAATCTTGTGTTGCTGGTTGTGAGAAAGCCAAAGGTGCTGAATCAGACAAATTGAGGACGACCTGATTTGGCTCGTTCTTGGTGGTGGTGGTGGTGGTGGTTTGCAATGATGACTCCATTGATTCGTCGTTTTCTTCCTCCATTTTCGCTTTGGTTTCATTGCAGTTAAGAGAAAGACCAGAGAATAGTTTCATAAGCTCCTCCATGTCGTCTTGGTTTTGCTCAACATTGACGTGACGGTCCTCCTTCATAAGGTTTCCACGTTGTTGCTTGGTTGCAAAGAAGGTGTTCATGTTTGATTTTGATGTTTGGTGTTTGGTGTTATATGCGAATAGGTGAAGAATAAGATTGCACAAAAAGCTCGGCGCTTTGTTTTTATGAGCTTTTGGAGTGCGAATGCCACAGCGGCCAGAGTGCATGTTTGCATATCGTTTGCATCATCATCGTGGAATTATCAAAAAATGAACACGGTACACGCTGGCGAAATGAAACGACTTTTTCGACAGATTTTCATTTCGCTAGAGCTGGAATTTCTTTTCAAAACAATGAAGCAAGCAATCTTCAATCTGCAGCCGGTTGTGTTGTTGTTTACGATAGGCTTTTGAAGGCGGCGAGGCCTCTATATAATGAATGGGACTCACTTCAAAAGCTTCATCATTATCATCATCATCATCAATAATGTCTCTCTGTTTTTATCGCGGCCGCCGAGCTGCGTTTTTATTCTATTTATTTGCCCGTTTGTTGTAGTCTTGTGTTCGTGCATCATTGAAATCACTGTTCGAAAGTCCGATATATATTCAAATCTGGTCGTGAATGACGCAACCCGGAGTGCCGATATACTTTTCCGCAATACCATGCGGGAACTAAAATTTCACTAGTAATCGTATGGTAGATGATTTCCAGGTATTGCGGAAAAGTATATGATTTTGATATACGTTTCGTGCGGAAATGCGCGGTAATGATATATCCTTCAGTAAGTCTGTAGAGTGTTTGATTTGATCAAGGATTTGATCGTGGTACGTAGCGTAGCGTAACGTAACGTGACTTCAAATGATCCATTCGATCAGTATAGGAATCAATCGATCACAGCTTGGAGGAAGAGTGCGGTACACTTTGCTTGCGGCGGAGACCTCGTGACACTGATACTTTAGCAACGAGGCTAGAGACCAACATAAACGAGCAAGGGCATTGAAATTGAAAACAAAGGAATCCATCTGATTCATTTCACACTATCATAATGCCAGCACTTGGCAATTCTTGCTGCATAAATCTAAGTTTCATCGACGCTGATGGGTCGTGTTATATTTGTGTTTCTGGTTTCTTGACATTTTCCCTGCTGTCCAGCGCAGATGAGATGAGATGAATGAATGAATGAATCGAATCCAGCCATTATTGGAACCCATGCTTATCGTGAAATTGTCAATCTCGCATTCTGAATTCGCAGTTTTCTCAACAATATTTCGGCTTCCACTGTTGCAGCCACTGGATTGATTCCCTTCAAGCGTGGAGGAATCCAAAGCGAGTTCTTCGTTTTCCCTTGGTGGGGATCATTACCAGAATGAATCAATCATACAACTAACAGCTAGTAGTCGCGTAGCTAGTACCAAGCACTCCATTCATTCACTGCTTGTTCGTAGGCACCAACCATCTCCAAGTCCTGGGTGGCCAGTACATCATTGACACAATCCTTGATGGAAATAGGATCGGACATGACTCGGAAACAAGCGAGTTCCGCTTGGGCATAGGAAATTTCCGAGTTGGCCAAATGGCGTCGGCGTTCTCCGCGTGGATCCTTTGGTTTCCAGCACTGTTCGGGGAATTGGGGGCGAGAGGCTTCCCGGAAGAGTCGCTTTTCGTACGGAAGGACTTGCCACTGGTCACCACGGTTTGTGAAATCGTCAATGACAGTCACACCATCACGAGCATGTGTTTTCCCAGTCATGTAGTCTCCAAGAAGACCGACCGTATTGCCAAAGACGGATTTATCGCCATTGAATTGGACACGAACAAACTCCTTGTATACTTGAACAACAATGGAAGCATTGGGATTCAAGTCAATGGTGTAATGGCGCTTGTAAGCAGAGGGAACGCTCTGGGTGACGGAAAAGCCAGCAAAGGTGTCCAGGTCTCCTTGGTACTCGTAGTTGATCCAGTACTGGGCTTGCTTTTCATCAGCAGTCGTGGATCCTTCAATCTCTAGAATGTCATTGCCAATCTGAATGGCAATGCTTTGAATGTAGGACCAGTATCCAACAATCTTGGTACGGATGTGAACGTGCAATCCAAGGCCTTGGGCAAATACTTCGTCTTTCATCATCACAAGGTCGCACTGACCATCATACTTGTAATGCTGCTCATTGTTCCAAGTGATGATGTGCGTGTTGCCACCTCCACCAGGTGGTAGTAGTGGCCTTCGTATGGTTACTGAGAGGCCTCCTTCATTGACTGTTGTGTCATATTCGATTTCATTTCCTTCGTGACCCTGATTGTGATTGTTCTTTTTGGTGGTGCTGGAAACATCACCACCACCGCCACCAATTGCACGAGCATGGAACAGAACGGTAGACAAGAGAATGATGATCAATTCGAACTTCATGGTAAATAGATATGCTGTATGGATTTCCAAAATGATGAAAAAACTTGTGAAAGAATAGCTATATTTTGAATGTTATACGACGTGCGGTGCATGATTAGAGATATCGAGGTTCACGTACAATATTTTCTAATTTTCCAGGAACGGCCGGGAAATAGAAATTTAGCATACAATTCTTGGGAGTAAATGTTGATTTTCCCGGCCGTCCCAGGGATGATACTACTTCACGTTGGGAAACTGCATATCCCGATTCCCCGAAAGGACCGATTTCACAATGGAATATCCCCGTAATGTTGTTTTGTGCCGTACGATGGAAGGGCGGAGATACGAAGACATCCAACAAACAATGAGGCCAATACTCACGGTCAACGAATCCGAAAACGGATTCGGCCCTTGCGCGTTTTTCGCACACTTTTTGCAATTCGTTTTTCTGGCCAAAACACGTCATGACGGATTGCGAAAACGAAACACGAATGAATCGGACCAATCAAGCATGAATCAGACCAATCAGAATCCACCAAGATACCTCTTTTTTCTGTTTTGGATACTACTTTGAACTTGTCTCCTTCATCTTCGTACTTCACCTCTTCCTGACAGCTTTCAACCGCGCCATAATAACAAAGAGATTGTGACCTAAACCATAAGCACCACACCATAATTATTTAACCGTTGATTACTAGTACTCTTCATTAACCTACAAATCTTTCATTTGGCACATTGATTGCAGGTGGTGGCTTGTCTCCTTTCCTTGAAGGCCACTGAATCGCATTTCGCCTCCATATTATATCAAAATATTGGATCAGTTTCGTTCTAAAACTTTTCATAGAGAGACTTCGTACAGGAATAGGCGTTGTCAACGATGGTCCAAGCCCCTGTGTATTCCACCTCCCTCCATTCAATTCCATCATCATCTAATTCAAGAAGAGTGAAAATGAGGTCCCCATACCGTTCACCCTTTCTGAGTTGATTGGCAAGTTCGTCAAAGCGGATCAAGGTCTTGTCCGACCATCTACCAGGGTGACCTTTAGTAGTTGAGAGAATGCGCCGGCGGTGGTTGACTGTCATGTTATGTGTCTGTGTGGGCATTGGAAGCTCGAAGGAATCATGGTGATTCCTCAGCCGGTAAAAATATCTCAGCGTGCCAATGTGGGTGGCATCACCACTTCCAACACAACCATTGAAACCTGCCCTTGCATATTCTTCGGAGCACCTTCCTCGAACGTCTTCTGATGTGGCAGGAAGGTACACATATTTGCGGTACAGAGCTGTTGAACCCCAATGATGATAAACATGGAGAAAGCGTCGGTGGGTTTCTTCTGAGATTGATGTTGATTCCTCAAGATCATCCAGTGTCCACCCACGTCAGAGATACCGAAGAGTCCCCAGAAGTAACAGCTCAGTGGGTGCATGAGATCTCTTGCCAGTGCAATGTTTGGCTGTGTCACTCCATTTTGAAAACAAGGGGCTGGCTTTCACTTCCTCTAGGTGCTTGAGGTAGGACTAGTTGGATCAACACAGCTTATCAGCCTTGTTGGAGGGCCGTAGGGTTGGGTATTGCCCATGATGACTTGGATCCTAGAGTTTTGTTGGAATCCGTTCGTTGACGAAAATGTTCCCGATTTGCCGCGGGCAAATCGGGAAGATTTTCAGCTTCCAACGGATTACGAATTTGAGGCTTCAGTGAAGGTTGGTACCAGTAGGGTTTGTACGTTAGTACATAATTTACATACGGTATTTTGGAATTCGTTTTCGGATTCGTTGACCGTGAGTATATACCGGTATATTGGCCTGAGATGACCGCGACGAAATCGTACCTCCGGATAATACATACCGCAGCATTGAACACTAATAAAGTTCCCACCAAATCTCACCAAATATGGAGCCAGCCTTGCCTATTTCAAACAAGATCGGAAAGCCTGCCAATCAGAAAATGCTTCTCCAGCTTGTGACAAGTCAAACATATAGTGAAAACACGTCCAGCGATTTTTAGAGGGAAACGTATACTGCAGTTACCCTGTATATGAAAAACATGCATGAGGATATTCGCAGTCGCTAATTCAATGATAGCAGTAAGAAAAAGGAGAGGGGAAAGATAATGGTAATCAATGGTCTAGACTAGAGCTTATTCAGTTTCCTTCATCTATTCGTCAAGTAAATTTGTCTTGATAAATTTGTGTTTTGAATTCACAGTCGTAACTAAATGTCTTGATGTCACCGTCGTAACCCAATAACACGGATGAAGCGGAAGAGAGTTCTCTGCTATCCTTGTTGAATCCAAAGGTTCTGTTTCGAGAAGTGTTCGCAGAGGGCGACCCGATCCATCGTTTCGGTGGGCTGGATGATTGGATCTCATCGGAAGGGACACCATCCATGGTATTTCCCGTGGTCTTGCAAAGTGCAGTCTCCGGAGACTCCTAGATCATCACCACCACTACATCCATCGGATTAGAATAACGCATTATCTCTTCATTCTCATAGTGTGCATCATGCCATAATGACGCTCATTGGCAGATCGGAAAACAATGATGGATCACAACAAATGACCAAATGACGAGAACAATTTTAAATTGAACTTTATCAAATACCGCGCGTGACTATTCAGGTCTATATAATATATAGAAAGTAAGCCTGAATCCAAGCTGTTTTTATGAGTACAATATTAGTGTTCAATGCTGCGGTATGTATAATCCGCAGCATTTGCCGCGATTCTTTTATTTCTGACAAAAACTGCACAGAGGAATATATTACGCAGTGTGGATGGAAGGAATGAACAACAAAACAGTGAATACAACATAAGATTCATTCCTCAGCAAACAAGCTATTTGTATACATATTTGACCTGCTACCGAAGGCGAAGGAACGAATTAGAATGGGAGGAAGACGTTTCTTTGGATATTTGGGGCTCTGTTGTCTATAGTCGCTCTCTACTTTTTTGGTAACTCACGAAAGTTGCGGGGTTACGGTGCCCCAAAACGGGAAACAACATATGGCATATCTACACATGATTCAGAGCCAGAATCAGCACCCTCTGACGGCGAGGAAAATACTGATTCGTCGCAACACGAAGGCAGTGCCGCATTGTTGAATAGTTCATCGAAATACACAAACAAATCATCAGCATCGGCGTCATCAGCATCAGCACCCTCAGCACCCTCATCACCCTCATCACCATCACCATCACAGCTGAACAGAGATTCTGCTACAAGCCTGAATTCATCTGAATACGCCGACGCGTCATCAACGTCATCGCATGATCATGCTAACAACCAAAGCCAGTATAGTAACACGACCTCCCATTCAGCGGATCACACCGAGACGTCGCCAATTCATGCTAGCAACCAAAACCTTTCCGCGAACAACATCTATTACAGCAATGGCACTCGTGCTGTTGTGAACCATTGGTATGGCTGGCAACCAGATATCAAGACTGCAATGGACTGTACCTGGGTGGAATGTTTGAAGGTGAATCACACATGCAAAACTTGTCGCGATTCGCCAACGGATATGGCAGTGCCCTTTGTCGATCCGGGGGAGGATTGGGTCCCTGATGTCACCATGTTGCGTCGAATGTTTTTGGACGGTCACGATTCCAATGGGAATCCTTGGCCCCCTCCCTTGCCAAAAGAACTATGCGATGTGGTGAACAGCAGCGAAAACACGAGGAGATTGCTGGATGAGGCAAAGATAGTTGGAGCGCCAATTTCGAGAACGCCAGAAACAAAGAACAACAAACTTTTGTGTTTCATATATACCATGGAGAGGAAGCACAACACTTCCATTCGAGCGATGCGGGAAACCTGGGCACCAGGCTGTGATGGATTCCTTGCATTCTCGACAAAGTCTGATCCTCGGATACCTGCCATTAGTGTTCCACATAGGGGAAAGGAAAAGTATGGCAACATGTGGCAAAAGATTCGGAGCATGTTCCAATTTGTTGGGAAACACTATCTATCGGAATTCGATTGGTTCTACATGGGTGGCGATGACCTTGTGGTCTATCCGCAAAACTTGAAAAACTATCTTGGAACCATAAATTCGAGCGAACCTCACTATCTCGGGAGACGCTTCAAAGGAAAAAAAGTGGGCTTTAATACTGGAGGGGCTGGCTACGCCCTCTCGCGACCGGCCCTTCAGTGTTTACTCGCAAACTTGGAGGAACAGGTCTGCGGACCATGGAAGATGACATCCCAGGAGGATGTCATGACGGCAATTTGCTTGGAACGTGCCTGTAACATCACGTACGAGGACACACGAGACGATCAAATGCGGGAGCGATTTCATCATTGGATGCCGGATTTTGAGTATTTCTACAAAGGTGGAAAGTTCTGGTATTATAATTTCATTAAGGAATGGGGAATTCTGTTGGGGAATCAAAGCTGCTCGTCCGAAACTGTCAACTTTCATTATATCAAGAATCCAACCATGGCTCGGTACCTTTATCACTATGTCCAAGATGTACAGGGCTGCAATCGAACCATATGATGCACTTTTATTTTTAATAAAAGGGATGGTATTGGACACCAAAAAAATTAATGGAGGACAAGAACTTGCATACTCCTATTCTGGTACCTAAATTCCACATAGTCGAACTAGTCAAAAACGGCCGCCCATCAAAACTTCCAAATATATATATACCGTAAATATATGATACAATTTACATACAATATTCTCTCATCTATCAACACAGCAACTGTAAACGGCCACCCTACAAAACAAGCACAACACTTCATGTTTGTATTTTATCAGACATATTCATTACATTATATTTAGGGTAGAAACCCATTCCCCATCCCCTACAGCAGTATATTATGGCTGTTCCATTATTCTCTGGGCCGAATCAGTCGCTCTCTAGCTTTTGCCAAACGAAGGTTCTTGCGTGCTAATTGATATTCGGTTTGAGCTTGTTGAAGATCCAACACAAAGGGTTCCATGTATGTATCTAGACTTGAGACGCCTTCTTCCGCTTGCATCTGTTTGTAACGCCGCAAAATCTTTTGACGATTGGTTTCTTGCTTGGGCTTAGTCAGTTCTTTAATGACCTTCTCACCATCAAGTCGAGCTTCATTTAGCATTTGAATCAAAACATCCTTTTCCTTATGATCTTCTATCAAAGTTGCCTTCTCTTGTGCCACCTGTTCAAGCTTCATAGCCAAGCTGGTGCTCTCTGCAGTTTGCTGTTTGTAATCAGATTCCAACTGCTGCAACCGCTTGTTTGCTTCCATCAAGGAGGTGTCCAGAGAATCAATCAGCAGACCTTGTTCAGTAGCTTCAGAGTAAATAGATTTGATCAATTCTTCTTTTTCTTTGAGCTTGATTTTGAACTTTCGAGAATGGTCTTGGAGATCCAGACGCAAACGCATCTTTTCGTCTCTGACTTGCTCAAGGTGCCCTTGGCGATCATCCAAAATATCTTTCACACGTTTGGACTCATCTTCAAGCTCTGCCTTCAATTGGTGTATCTATGTTTCTTTTTCTGCAATCTCTTCCGTTCTGTGACGAAGTTGGTACTTTGTTTCATCAAAGTCCTTGAGTTTGTTTTCCAAATGATCAAAAGCTTTCCCTTCAATTTTTTGATTTCTGTGTCCTTTTCGCTGCGAATCAACACCAAAGAGTCTATGGTCAACTCGTTTTCTTCAAGTTCTTTGACAATGTTAACATTGCTGTGCTTTTCCGCAAGGAGCCTTTCAAGTCTAGTGATCTTTGTATCCTTTTCATTCAAAGCTTTGTTCAGTAGCGATACCGAGGCTTTAAGGATCCCACTACCTGGATTCCTTTGGATGAAAAGGTGGTCCGCAACTTTCACAACATGGGAGGATCCTTCTTGGGAAGTTCCAGGGGTGGTCATGACACCAAGGCCATTGTCGATTCGTTGGAAAAGGAAGGAATCAATTTATTGTTTGTGACGGGCGGAGATGGAACAGTCCGAGGTGCCGGTATGTTGCTGTCTGCTTGCATTTACGTCGATTGCAGCATAATATTGACGTGTTATTGTCGCAAAAATGAAAGACCTCTAACAGATTCGTCAAATCCTTCTATAGCCCTAATCGCAGATGAAGTTCGAAATCGTGGATTGGAAATCGCCGTCGCGGTCATTCCCAAAACCATTGACAATGACATTCCTCTCATTGACCGAACCTTTGGATTTGAATCTGCCGTCAATGCGGCCCGGCAGGCTATTGATGTGGCGGTCACCGAAGCCGAAGGATTTCCGTACGGTCTGGGGTGCCACGGTCGAAGGGAGATGATTCATCGTGCTGACAGCAGGGCAAAGGCGTGCTTTCTTTTCTTTGCTTTGCTTTTCTTTTCTTTTGGTGCACAAGCTTGGTGCAGCAGAATACTTGTACAACGCAATGAACCGCAATAGAAACAATAGGAACCTCTCCTCTAGAATACTGAAATTCAGTGCGCTCGCGATTTTCATCGAGGTTCACCTAAAAATTGGGCGGAACCTGATTGCGGTGTGACGGACGGCCGTATATATACAGTACTGTAGGGACACTGAAAAGTTGTTGCGAACCCGGAGGTTTACCAAAAAACGTCACGAACGTGCAACTGATGTGTACTTCCGTGTTCGCAACAAGCAAATCGCATTCTCCCTATATTGGCGACAATAAGTATAAATATACCGCCCGCATCGGCGACAATAAGATATTGTATGATGGGTATAGCAAGATCAACTAGGATAGTACTACTATCATAGAGCCTCCCATCCAGCCACCGTAGTGAAGAATGTTTCATCACCACGCATTTTTTGCCTAGTACTATATATTATAATAGCCAAACCTTTTGATTCATTCATTATTATTTCTTTCGTTCATTCTTATCATTTCATCAATTCATCTTTTGGTATATAAACAAAAACATTTTCGTCAAGTACCAGGCATCTGCGTAGAATCCCAGGGGGGCCCCTCCGTGTAATTTTCACCGAGCCCTCGTGAAATTTCACAGAAAAAAGATCACCCCCATCCCTTTTTCCCGTCACTGTTTTGCTTTCCCCTCGAGAAACATCGTCATTGTTTTTTTCTTCCCTCCAGAAATATAGGATACCACTCACACGAAGGTCCACAAGCACTTGGGACAAACATCACACGTGAGAGATGGCACCAAAGAAACCAAGGGCACCAAAAGGACTAGGTTCTATTCTAACAAGGAAGAAGTCCAAATCCCGAAGCTCAACTACAAAACGAGCCAAAATTATCAGTGAAGAAGAACGCATTGCGGGCCTTGCCCAAATTGCCTCTCGGCTAGAAGCTTTTTGCAAGGAACGCCACACCTCACCTGACCCTCTTCCCATTTTAGGAGGTAGAGACTCGGGTCAGGGGTCTGTTAAATGTGGTGACACAACACTTGACCGCTACAGGTCAGTCTGGAAAGGAATGCTTGATTTTTGCATTCTTATTGGCGACTACACGTCTGGAATCATTCTCCGCCAGTCACATTGCCCTGCAAAACCTCCACCAGTGTCGCTCAAAACTTGCATCCTCTACATGAGATACCGTGTACTGCCTCCAGGTACAAGTGTTATCAATCCAGATTCAACAACTGCTTTTGTGTATGGCCCCAACAAGACAGAGCTCAAAGCTGTTGGCACCTGGACTGCAGAATCCACCGTTGGCAACTTGAACAGTGCGCTCTGGACACTTCACAGGTGTTATGAGACAACCCGCGACAAGTATCAGGAACAATGCAAACAATGCCGTGAAATAGATGTAGAAGATTCAAAAAAAGGCCATGGCTGCAGTGATCATGGAGGTAATCCTCACTATTGGAGGCGGGGCAATCCTTCCGAAAGTGTTCTTTTTAAGAATGCCCTTAACGTGTTACGGGAGTACTGCGAGAACAACTACAAACATCGGCAAACTGTGGCCTTCCTTCCATTCCAACTCAGGAATATCAGGACTTCCCTCCTCTCGTCTGGGTCTCTTGAGCAGCTTATGCTTTGGTCTGCAATGATCCTTGCATCCAAACTCTTCCTGCGCATTGACGAAGTGCTTTCACTCCATGTGGATTCTTTTGTTGTCAAGCACTTTCTCATCAAAAAGAAGAAAGTTGTGGCCCTCATGCTCAAGATCAAAGGCAAAACCGACCCTCGTTATAACCACTTCCTACTGTGGGACGATGATGAGTACCCGGAATTGTCTCCAGTCCGGCCACTGCTGCTATACCTTGCCATCTCTGGCAGGAAGAGTGGATATCTCTTCCCAAAACTTGAACAGATCAACTGGGAAGATGCAACTGAACCCTATAGCTACTATCATTTCCTCAGCGACATGGAGATCCTATTTACAGACGTCCTTCAGCTCGACTTACTGCAAGAGGATGGAACAGAAATGTGTGCAGGCACCCATGCATTGAGGAAGACAGCATATCTACTTGCATGGTGGGCAATACATACACACCCCACATCCTTCCAAAGCCACTTTGAAGCAGCCGATATTCTCCCAGTTGAGCAATTAGCATCCCTGAGTAACGACGCAAGACACAAAAGTTCCCAATCTTCCTCAACGTACCTCCAGGACTCCCCAGCGTTGTTCCATGTCAATGAAAGAATGTATAATTGTCCGACAAACAAGGTTGGCACTTACCTTCCTTCCCGCATCAATTTTCCAGATTCCGTTAAGGCTGCGGCAGACCCTAGTGGCACATCTCGAAGACACAACCACAAGACCCTGCGTCAAGTTTCCACTTTCTTTGTTTATGAAAGTATGAATGTGCCTGACAACTGTGATCTGGAACGTCACCTTGTGTCTCTTTGCAAACAACTATTGACCGTCTACCACCCAGCAGACCACGATGACGATGTTGACAGTGGAGCCATGATTTCAAAGTTGGAAAAGCTTCTGCCTACAGATGTCTTTCCAGGTGTGAAGGGATGGATCGAGAACCTTCTTCTTCTTTCTGCCAACCGCCTAACATCGCCGTCTGGTACCAACCCAGGGCCTAAAGATGCTCACCAAACACCACTGAATCAAGAAGACACCAACAATTCTGACCACTGGCGGATGTCCCAAGATTTTGCTGCAGTATGTAACACTTGTCCAAAAACAGAAGCTGGCTCATTACGCCGGGTAAAATTATTTTTGGAGTTTACCGATGAATTCAAACACAAGAAAGAAGAATTCAAACGCAAAAAGAAAGAGACAGGAAGGGAGGATGGCCCAAAAGCACCAGTTTGTTTGGTGTCGTTTTACCACAGAGTTTCAAAAGTCATCGAATGTGTCGAAAAGTGCTATTACAATGATGCCGCTGTATTTGCTACCGAAAACCCCAAATTTGTATTTAATGACATTCGAAAAGATGGTTGCTATCGCTGCAAAAGCAAGAAGGCCAAAAAAGGGGAACAAGAACATGCTGAAGGTGGAGAAGATAGTGATATGTCATCCAAGAAAAGAAAGACGGCTGTTGTTAGTCCTACATCGTCCAAATTGCCCAAGAAAAACTAGAAAACTTTTAAACTAGTGCTTTATATGTGTTTCTCTTCCATTCAATATCCATTTGTTATCATACCCTAAACCGTATTGTGGTCAGTACTCGTGTATGTGATACATATCATACAAATATAGCCACCAATTTGTACATAGTCAGTGTTTTATTTGTGTGGTATATATCGCACGGGGCCTTGTGTATGTGGTACATAGCATAGGAATATAGCCTTTGTACATAGTCAGTGTTTTATTTGTGTGGTATATATCGCATGTGGCCTAGTATTTTGGTTATATGACATATATCATAAGGCCTTTTGGTACGTTGTCCTTGTTTTACTTGTGTGATATATATCACATGTGGCCCATTATTTTGGTTATATGGCAAATATCATACAGACTGTAGCCTCCAATTGGCACGTGCATAGTCAGTGTTTATTTGTGTGGTATATATCACACGTCGCATATATCATATTTGTGTGGCATATATCACATGTGGCCTAGTATTTTGTTTATATGATATATATCATATGGAATGTAGCCTCTAACTGGTATTAAGACCCCGATCCACAAAAAACCCCCCCTTCCCATACCCACTTTAGCAGTTTCCGAACCCATTGCGCACTTCTATGCGCTCGCCCGTTGAGAATTCTTATTCAACCACATCAAATTTTCCTTCCATCGGCAATGGTGAGCCTCAAGGCCGAGGAAAGCATCACCCTCTGGAGGAAAACTCGTGGGTCGTGGACATTCTCTGTATCGTGATCGTATCCATCTTGTTTGTATGAAGCGATATGGTTGCATTCGCCCCTCTCACCTCTGAAATCACTGCTAAAGAACCTCAACAAGGTACGAAAACTACTTTTGGAGAGGTTTCGGGACGTCTACAAAGTCCCAAGGCAACATAGAGCTAGAATTTTCTGCGGAAGTTGCTTCTCTTATTATACCAAAGGCAATGATGCCATTTTATATTCTTTATCTGGGTTCCTACAGGACGATTTTCAACCCAGACCATTGAGTTGCAAATTCGTCGGTCACAATGAACTTGCACGGCCTGGACCCCATGAGTAGAGAAAGTGGAATCAGAGGTTATGGCAAGCATAGTTGATATATATGTTACGTCGGGAGCGGCGGTAATTATGTTGAACATCTTTTTCTGGGCCACAATCACACAATAATTCAGAATGATTGGTTCCGTTGGTTGCTTGGACTGGACGGATAGGTGTCAAGAAGACGTATTTGCCGAGTGCGACTCGTATCTACCGTCACCATCAAGACAATATCTACATGGAGACTCGTTCGCAGTGTCGAACTACCAAAATTGACGATTTGGAGCACATCAAGGTGCCATGGTGCGATTGTTCCCCCGGTTTGGACAAGCCAGTGTGGACGCCCAGAGAAGTAAAAAGTGAAGCACATGTTGTGGCAAGCGTATTTGATAGATAGACTATGGCTGGAGCGGCGATTCATACTTGCAATCGCCTCAATTACACTACAATCTACCCTGCTTCGTTCGGCTGGTTCTGTTTGGTTGCAGAAACTGGTCGGCAGAAAGTCAAGAGGATCAATGCCTCGCATTCAACATGTGCTGGAAAGCTCGGCAGTGATCCTACCTACTCGGGGATCCATTCGGTTGTGTTTTGTTTTGAATACTTGTTGAGATATTGGAATTCCAGTGTTTGGTGCTGTCTGTTCCCCTTTCAGCATGAAGGTCGGCGTGGCCGCCCTGGAGACAGCCAACCATTCAACAATACACCAGAGCCTCCCTTGGATGCCTATTGTTCAAATTTTCTGGGACCCAGGCAATGGTTCCGCCTAGATTTAGAATCATGCCGCCCAAACGGGGTCAGAAATCATGGAAATCTGGTCCAAAAAGCCACTTGGTGGTGGTGTGGGCCGAATTTCCTTAAAATGCCATGTTCTAACACATATTTGTCGTCCATGGGTATGTATGAGAAGATTGGTGGCTTTGTTGTGGACATTTTCTAGGTAAAAGTGATTGAATAGCATTCACACTGCTTTGGGGATCAATCCAGGTTCATTCAAGATTGGTCCAGGAATCCTTCCCAGTCGCTGTGTGGCTACCAACACACCATGACACTAAGTTCAAAGTTCTCCAAGTACAAGCCAGTATCAACTTTGGGTGGTGTTGTGGAGTGCTGTGCCTCTAAAGAGAGTCAAGGCTAGCATATTTTTTCTCCCTGGCCTACTGTAAAACAGTGACTTTGTGGAATTGCCTTTCCTGTGATCGAATCTATCCGCATTCCCAATTTCAAGTATACAGAGGTCTAGTTTAGATATAGAAATATAATATTACGAGGGAACTTTATCTAGAGATGTTATTGCAACAAGGTCAAAATGTAGGAGATCGGCCTCCGGCCTCTTGTTTTTTTTTGTAGCAATCAAATGAGTCAAAACGACCAAAAAAGTGTCCGTCTTTTGTACCTACGGAAAAGCATTTTCATTCAAAACAACAAACACCAGAACCAAAACACATCACACAGCCAATCTGGAAAAACTACCACCATTCTTCACTTTCATACAATAATAACACACCTACAATTCAGTGATGGCTCCACCCAATCCAGACGATGGGACCGAAGATTATGTCCAGGCAGCTGCACCCATCCTCCACCATGCAATCAGCCATCCAGATGACATTGAAAAAAATAAGTCGTGGAGGGCAGGTTTCATGGATGACCATAACATCAATCCTGCGAAACTGGCCAATTCTCTATACCCTGAAGGTATCAGGACAACAAAAGAACTTGTATTAGAAAAACGATACATCTGCAAAAACCAGAATAATGACGGCCCCCCAACACTCAACGACATATTTAGGTCGGTTGCCAGAGTCTTTATTGATGATATGGAGCGTGTAGGACTGTCCATTACATGGAACAAACGGTCAAGAACGCCATGGTTCAATGAACTCGGTGCCTTGAAAGGCAAGGCAACAAACGTGGTTGCAGAAGGTAGATTTGCCAAGGGTGCCAGCATTCAATTCTACTGTTCCCGTTGCATGGCAGCCAATCGCTTGGGTCTTGTTGCTAATTGTCGATTCATAGATTTGACCAATCAGACAACCAAGGCGCCAAACGACGAGGAAAAATCTACTGAAGCAGGCGAAACAATTGATCTCAAGGCTGGCAAAAAGACTGGGCCCGTTTTGTTGGATGATTTAATGATGAAGGTAGAGGAAATGTATTATCATTCATCAGAGTGCGACACCCAAAACACAGCCACATTCCGCCACTATATCAACAATTACAGTTGCCAATTCTCGATACCCTTTCATTGGATATTTGGTGACCGCTACAACAAAGCAGTGGCGACAATCAATAACCAACCCAAGGTGGTGCCTCATTGGAGCACTTCTCTCAAGGAGGACGATGAGGCCAAAAAGAAGGTTGCAGGTCTTACTCAGACTATAAGGGAAGAACCCGACTATTGGAAAAACTTTGGGGAGCCAATCGATTTTGGCGAAGCTGATTATGTATTTGATGATCGTGGTTATCTCCTACTCCCAGGAGCCCCCCTTCACAAGGAGTTGACGCCAAGGATGCATCAAATGTCCATGGCCCGATTGATGTACACAATTGTGTCTCGGCTTGGGATTGAAAACGTGGCCTCCCCCTTTGCACTTGACTTGGAAAAGATGAAGGAAATGTGGCAGTACAGTCTTATGGGTGAAAAGAAGAAGAAAAATTTTCTGGGTATGTACACTGAGAACAAGTCTTTCGACGTCCAACTAAAGGAGGCTGCAGCCCTATTTGGTGGCAACGAAAGGGAAGTTTGTGGACCGGAACCCATTCATCAATTCTGCCATGTTGACCATGCTGGTGCTATTGACATGGTGCACAAAGACAAGGAGAAATACTCTTTTGTGCCGGGGTCTGTTATTGTGCCCCTGGAAAAGGAAGGGAGGGAAATCTACATTCGGACTCTTGAGCATAGAGTCTTGATTCCAAATGGTGACATCCTTATCTTTAGAGGCGATCTACCCCATGGAGGAATCACCAGTCGAGTGTCCGGTTCACCGCAAAAGGTGGCCCTTCATGCACACCTTGATTCAAAATCCGTTGACAGAACTCAGCAGTTGATTGGTCTGAGTAGTGGAGTGGATCACTACCTACCCCAGGAACATTTGATGCTCCATGATGTGGATCAGACAATCCACTCTTTTTTGGAATCACACCGAAGTCTTAACAGCAAGATGGGTGATTTTTTTTGTCGCCGTGGCGATGGGGTAGACAAATTCTTGGACAGAGCCTCCCATCCTCAAGATGTTCAAATGGCAAAAGAGTTCAAGTCCCTACTTGAAGACCTAAATAGAACGCACAACACGTACCAGCGCGTCAACAGGATCTCTGAAAAGAGAGGGTGGACTGCTGATGCTTGTGCTGATGTTCCTACTAGGAGGTCGAAACGAAGTGCTGTCATAAACAGAGAGCGTCTAAAGGATCTTTGATAAGAGAGGGTGGACTGTGTATGCTAGTGCTGATGGTACATTGAAACATTATACCCCTATACTCTTAGTACTAATCCTAAACTATAAGTTCACTTCTTTTGGCGCTTGTTGCTGCAAATAGAAAAGTAACCTGTTGGAAAGTAATCACGATTCTTTGCTGTGGTAATCTGGATCATATCGTCTGATCCATTCTCAACAAATGAATAGATCCACTTGTTGCCAGCCAACCCATTGTTTTCCTTGAATTGTTGCTGACCGTTTTGGAATCCAACATGCTGGCCTAGACGACAGCTAGCCTCTATGGCTTCTGAGACACACTCAATAATGTCCTCCTCATGCGCGGCTTGTCCACTCACAAACGCTTTGTTGGTTTTTGCGTCCAGACCTTGTGTGAGATGTTTCACCCGGTAGAGAACATATTCCTCAATAAGATCGCCAACTCCAGTCCAGAGTCCCTTGGCCTTTGCTTCCAAATTGCGAACATCCAAGGATCGCTCTTCTGGCTTCTGCAGCTTCAACGGGAATGTTCGAGGAACATCTGATGCACGACAATCATCGTCTGAGCAGTCCATGGGCAAATTGGATGAAGTCATCCTGAATTTGTAGATAAGGACTTTCTTTGGATCTCCAACAATATCTTGGATGACCGCCCTACCCAACTTGAGACCACATTGGTAGCCTAGGGCGACAGACTCCTCGATAATTGATTGGATTTGATGGAAAAGCAGCCGAGTTTTGGTCGCCCGATCTCTGAAAACTGACATCTCTGATGGCCCGTCTTCCATGAAATTTGTCAAGTGGAGACAAACAAGGTGTGCTGATGCGTTGTTAATATATAGCATTGCCTTGTCCCTCACGTATTTGGAACATGGCATCTCCGCAGTATATTCAAAGCTCTTCTGCTCATCGAAGAAGGATATGAATTTTGAAGATGCAACAAAAGATGGTCCCACAACCACCTCGTTATCCTTCAAGTTGACAGCTGGAGTCACAACGCGGTTTATGATGTGCACAACACCACTCTTTTGTTTCATAACATCACCAGTTTTCAGGTTGCGGAAAGCAAGGGGTGTGTTTACCTGTTGCTCGATAAAGTTGTTCCAGTCTTTAGGCATGGTATTGCAGGTACAGTGCCACTGTTGCTTTTGAGTCTTTCAAGTGGTGGCCAAATTTTGTGAGCATGTGAGCTACAAATATTCATCATGTCAAGAACGGTTTGAGCGTTGGACAGGGTGGGGGGAACATATAAGGACTAAATGTCCTTAAGACATGATTTTGAATTACCGATGCTGACGTATGTTTAATCCAACGAGTCAAAAATCGAAAACCAACAATGCGATGTTTTGAACCAATCATGTTGAGTCCAACGAGTCAAAACAACGAAAACCACCAATGCGATGCAATGTCATGTCACACACAAACACACACAAAACCACACAAAACCACACACACACACACAGAGATAGCAAAGTAAGCACCCTCTTTCAGACGAAAACGCAGATGACCGTGATACACACCTGGCTTCCTGAGCTGCAGGCAGTACATGTTCTGAAGTGAACAAAATCGATTCTGAAATGGAAATGATTCAACGCAATAAATTGGGAGATGCCATTGATCCAGCACAATGCACATTGTGCAACAAGGTTCATGCGGTGCTCCCCAACAAGGCAAAAACCAAGACTCAATTGCCCAGACGGAGTGGGTGCCTTCTCTCAAACAAGAATGCATGCTGCGGCAACAGAATCTTTGAAAGGGTAAGTTTCTTGTGCGATGGAGACTAATTTATTATGGGCAAATGAACTAACAGTACACAATTCCATTTCAGGGCTGTGTCGAGGCGTTGGTGCAAGGGATGCAGACAGGAAAACTTGCCTTTCACAAGGAATTCTTTGAAGCCGCAATTAGTGATAAAAAAAACTGGATTTATTGGTTTTACAAATATTCGGAATATCGAGAAGGAAGGGACCTCAACATGAGACTTCCCGACAATGTTCCTTGCCCAATGTGTTGTGTTATGGAAGCTTGCAATGGCGATGCAACCACCTTGGCCAACACTAGCATCCTCATCAAGAACCATTGCAACCTATTGACCAGGGGGAAGAGGCACAGTAAGAAAAGGAAGAGGAATCCCCGGAACAAGAACAATAAGACTGAGCATGATCCATTGCTAGCACAACTTGGATCAAAAAAGACAGCGCATAATCTAGGTCCATCAAATGGGGACTTGGCATTATCGTTTGTTGAACTACCTGAAAAGGGTTTTAATCGACAAAAGGTGATCAATGCGCTGTCGGAATCGTCCAATTCTCTAGCAGGGATGTTGTACTTCCCCGCCTACCACCTACTAATAGATCCATGTCTTGGGCTTGAACAGCTGCATGGCATGGCAGGGCAGACAAACGGAAAGGAGGACGGCTGTTGGCATTCTGTTGTTCCTGAAGAAGTTGCAGCTGCTGTGGACATGACAAGGTTTGAAGGCCATCCAAAGAAAACAAAAAGGCTGGCCCTAAACCAAAATTCTACAGATCATCCTCTACCTTTGCACAAAATTGATCCCCAGCGTTGGCCTTCAGGTCAGTCATATGAGCTGAAGGTTGAGTGGTCGGCTTTCAAGCTAGACCGGGATATTGATTGTTCTAGGAAAAAAGGACAGTACCCAAAAGCGGATGAGCTCATGTTCTGTCAAGTTTTCCGTCCATCAGATTCAGCCAAAGTTTCGGTCGCACTGTTAGAGCCAAGAATAGAAGATGCAGACTTCCATCTTGGTTCAATGATTCTACAAGATCCAGCAGGTTCTCCAATCTTGGAGAGACCAGAGCACATTTGTCAAGATGCACTCTTTGACAACATGCTACCTTCAACAGGAACTAAAGGTATCCAGGTAGCCCGTTCTGGTGGCTCTGGCGGCCCTGTTGATACTTCGTCAAATCTGTTGAAAACATTTCTGCTGCGGTTACGGACATTTCCGGTGCACAGGAGAGCAATGCCACTGCTCATTGTAAACTATGACGGAAGATCACCTTGTATCATTGGTTTGTACATCAAGGTACAAGAGAGAAAAAGGATTGCTGCATTGTATAAATATGCCATGCCCAGACATGGTGGGAAAATATGCTTTGGTGAAGCCGGTAATTATTGTCATCTGGAAAACTCGGCAGTCCTTCAGAGGTTCCCCGCCTGCAGGGTAATCTGTGCAATAATCTGCTCACAGTATAACAATTTGAAGAGCACGCGTCGCCATGTCATATCTAACGCTATTGCAAACCAACTGGCAAAGTGGGAATTGGCAAAGACGGGATCAAACCCACTCCTTTGCTTGGCAATGGAGGCGAACCACACTCTGGTGACACACCCAGTTGGACTACATCGCGACTTTTTTGAAAACAAAGGAACTGATCAAATTGAGAACAAGATAGTGCTTGTATCCTGGAGATTCTCTTGCACGGAACACATGAAGACACTGGGGCGTGGTGGCGCTCCAGGGCTATACACGTTTGCAATTTTAGATTGGTAAAACTAGTGAATTTACTGCTGGAACTGTTTTCAATTAAAATATCTGAGGCTACATTCCGTATGATATATAACCAAAATGATAGGCCATGTGTGATATATACCACACAAATTAAACGTTGACTATGTACCAATTGGAGGCTATATTAAAAGTATGATATATGTCATATGACCAATATAATAGGCCACGTGTGATATATACCACACAAACACAACTTAGGCCACGTGTGATATATACCACACAAATGCAACAATGACTATGTACGTACCAATTGGAGGCTACATTCCGTATGATATATATCATACACGTTTGTAATTTAGTGAATTTACTGCTGGAACTGTTGTCAATTGCAATATCTGAGGCTACATTCCGTATGATATATATCATATAACCAAAATGATAGGCCATGTGTGATATATACCACACGAATTAAACGTTGACTATGTACCAATTGGAGGCTATATTAAAAGTATGATATATGTCATATGACCAATATAATAGGCCACGTGTGATATATACCACACAAACACAACTTAGGCCACGTGTGATATATACCACACAAATGCAACAATGACTATGATTCCGTATGATATATATCATATAACCAAAATACCTGGACACATGTGATATATGCCACACAAATAAAGCACTGACTACGTACCAATTGGTGGGGATTCAATATCATACATGTTTGCAATTTTAGATTGTTGGAACTATTACAGGCCACTTGTGCAGTAAATTCTATTATTTATGGCTAGTCTAAATCTAGATTGTTTAGAACCATAGCTGCAAGTCTTAGGCGGCAACGAGAAACCACAGCCTCGTATTTCTCGCTACCCCTGAGTTCTTTTCCAAGTCTATCCATAGGGTGCCCTGTAGCAAGGTATTCGCCAAAAAGAACAGTGAAGACACCACAATCCCGAGTGTTGCGCTGTTGTGGAGCATTTAAAACTTTGTCTGCAAACCTCCAATGGTCAATCTCTGTTCTGTCCATTGGTTTGCCATGGACCGATTGGTACTCGTCAAGAATGTACTGGAAAACAACACTGCGCACAAGGCAGGAGTCGTATTTGTGAGAAAGGAGGGAATCAAATATATGGATTTCCTTCCTCTGGATGAACACAACACAAAGCATCCAATGGACGCCCCCAAAATTGACAGGAATGGCCAGTTTATCGATTTGGAACAGATTGGTACCACTTGGGAGCTGCCGCTTGGTCCATCTCCTGACATTATTGTAGTTGTACTTGTTGAAGTATTCACCGCTCTTGTCGACGCCTGCATCAGGATTTGAGTGTCCCTTCCCAAAACCAGAGCGACCTTCTAAGTTCATTGCCCTTGTGAAGAAATAAGATGTGAAGAACCAGCAGAGCTGATTTGAGGAAACAAGATTGGCATCGTATCTCCGCCTGGATCTGTCCTGCAGCTTTGCAAAAAAATAATTGATAATATCGTCTCGAAGCCAATCTTTTCGTAACCGTTTCACACTCTCCAGAAAGATTTTGGAGTCACTTCCAGCAGGTGTGACAACTGTGGTGGTTGGGTCTCCGTTGTTTTGCCACAGACGAAAAAATTGATTCTTGTCTTTGTGGCTGACTTGTTTTAAACAGCAAAGAGATCCAAGATTCTTTGGAAGCGGTGTGGATTGTTGACCATGAGAGACGCGCGGTAGAATCTCTGGCAGAACCAAAATCGATTTTAGGGCACTGTCAAGACTTTCCTCCAGCATCAAATGAGTATTTGATAATGTAGATTTGAGGGCCTGAACCGGGCGTTTCTGGGCTAGAACATGGCGCTGTTCTTTGCCAATAGTAATGCGTTGTTTTTTTCTCTCAAATATGTAGGTTTTGAACAGTATCAGCGCCCCCTGGAGTTGACCTTGGGTGCAAGAGTGTTTTGAAGAAAGGTGAACGGCCTTGGCAACGACTGTGGTGAAAAAGTAGTGCACTGGATTGACAATCACACCCCGCTGGTGTTTAATTCCAAAGCTCACAATGTGGAACTGCTGAACAAGTACAGTGCTTTTCAGCCCAGCTCGCTCCAGCAATCCCCAAGTGTCCCTCAAAGAGGAATTGAGATCTGAAGTTGGAAAATTGTGGGAGAGGGAAGAGAATAACAAATGAATTTTTTGAAGGAAGGCTACACTTGGTTCTGTGCTGCGATTTTCCCACAATGTGCGAAGATGCTCCAGCAGAGGTGATTGCTGGATTGCTTGGGTTGCAACAGCCACCTTGAGGATGGTTTCATAGCAGTCATTCTCTGTTGGACATGATACCATCAACAGACTCAGAAACCAGAAACAATCATCATGTTTTATTGCTGCCAGTGGAAGAACATGTCGGAGTAGCCCTCGAATGAGGTGATGCAAGACGTAGACAATCTCAAGTTGAACAGTGAGTCTGCGTTTCACGTTTGCAAAACCCAACTGCAGCTTTCTGCCGTCCTTTTTCCCAATGGCAGAAGCCAGACTTGAGAGTGTATCTATCTCACGGTCAAGTTCAGCTGAGTTCTCAACATGCATATCCAGTGGAGCCCCGTTTTTGCAGCGCAAGTTGGTTTTGAAAATAATGCCAACTTGGAAATTGGAAAAGTAGGATGGGGAATTGCTGCGAAGAAGAAAGGTAGTTCCAAGGGCTAGCATGACGGCGTCGTTTCCAAATTGTTCCTCTGTGAAAAACAGTTTTGCAATTGTGGCGGTGCGAAGGGAATTTGGACAGGCGTAACAACGCAGTAAATCAGACTGTTCCTTCCAAAGATTTGCAAGGGGATCAGTTTTGAAAATAAGATTTGGTGGAGGCTCGTCCTTCTGTGGAGAAGCTGTGTTGGGAGTTGTTTGTGACATTTCTAAGATTGAAAGGGCAGCAGCAGTGCAGGCATCTGCTGCATCGCTTTCATCAACGGCAGAAGCGGAGATGGTATATGCTGCTGGTTGGGGTGAGGATTGTAATGGGTTTTTGTATGCTTCAGACAGTTGAGTCAGAGTGGGAGTGGAAGTCTGGGATGAAAGTGTTCCAAAGTTGAGGGACAGGTCCAATGATAGATTGGATTCCTGGGTATCCGGTGGGCAGGGGGTTCCACCATTGTGTTGGTTCATTGAGGCGTCTTGGGAAAACTGCCAAGAGGATTGGGAGAACATCCTTGGATGGCAATATATATATAGGTGCACAATGAAATTGTTTTGGACTTTATTATTTGGGCTGTACTATTGAAACCAAGTCGAGTGGGACAAATATCACAGGACTCAAGAAAAACTAAGTATGGAGCGGAGATTGATAGGGATGTATGATATATAGCACACATATCACCAGGTAAAATTTGGAAAAATATTTTGGGCGAAAAAAATTTGGTGAAAAAAAAAGGCTCGTAGAAATCCTACCTGTGAAAAATTTGAAAACAGTGATACCCCTCATTTACCGCTTAGCTAGTATGTGTGATATACCAGTATATCGTCACAAATGGATTTACAGTACTCTCTAGACTACTATAAAAGAAAATGGCTCATGTTGTTGTATTTTGCATCTGTTGATCTTTATATTTTTGTATTTTTATTGATGCATACATGATTTTGTGTAGTCCTAGAGGACAATGGTTGCATCGATGCCGATGCATAATATTGATTCAAGTTTTTGTTTTTGAATTTTCTTTCATTCAAAGAATCATTATATTGTACGGTGTTCGTTTTATTGATGCGTTCGAGGGACAATCACCTCTTCTGTTTCATTTTTCGTTGTCATATTATTGGTTGTTTCTTCGTTTTGACTTTTGTATCTCTTGATGCATATATACAATAGTGGTGTAGATGTACTGAATTGTGTACATTCTACGGCATGCCTTCTACATACTCTTTTGGGACTTTTTTCACCCAAAAAGGAGCATTGAAGTACATACTGACTTACGCGATTCTTGGACCGCAACAGCTCGAACTTAGAGCTGAAGCAGGATCAAACGGTAGCGGTCGAAGGACGTGAACTCTCTTTTGATTTCGTTCAGCCTTGATGGAAGGATTACTGTGTCCTTCAGGGGAGTAATATTTGGGAATAGGCCGTAAACACGCAAAGATCTTTCATGGAAGCGCGCTCCTCGTCTCCAGGTGTTCTTGACATTTGTCAGTTGCGAGTGCAATAGTGTTGGCCAACATTTTCTGACAAGTCAAGAGCACTGAAAAGTAGAAGATTGTTTCGAGAAAGGTCGTATGCGGAAGCGGGGTACGGGTTGGCGATCTCTATGGAAGACCTATGGACCATCGACTTCCATTTCATCAGTATCGACTTGCATCCAGTCAATTTCAGGTAGATCGATTTCCATTTCATCAATATCAACTTGCATCCAATCGATTTCTGGTAGATCAATGTCCATTTCGTCTTGGTCAACTTCCATCGCATTGCAGTCGATCGAAAGTCTGGAGAACCGTTTACCAAGCTCGGTTACAGAAGCATTGCCTGTGGCGAGTTCCGAAGAAGGATGGAGCGAAACGTAAGTCGCCATCATTTCAGCTTCAATTTCGTCTCCAGTAGCATCGAGACTTTTAGATTCCGAGACGACATCTTGTGCTGCTGGTTGTGGCGAAGCCAAAGGTGCTGGATGAGACAAATTGAGGACGACCTGATTTAGCTCGTTCTTGGTGGTGGTGGTGGTGGTGGTGGTGGTTTGCAATGATAACCCCATTGTTTCGTCGTTTTCTTCCTCCATTTTCGCTTTGGTTTCATTGCAGTTAAGAGAAAGGCCAGAGAATAGTTTCATAAGCTCCTCCATGTCGTCTTGGTTTTGCTCGACAGTGACGTGACGGTCGTCCTTAATGATGTTTCCACGTTGTTGCTTGGTTGCAAAGAAGGTGTTCATGTTTGATTATGATGTTTGGTGTTATATGCGAAGCGAAGAATAAGATTGCACAAAAAGCTCTGCGCTTTGTTTTTATGAGCTTTTGGAGTGTGAAAGCCAAAGTGGCTAGAGTGCATGTTTGCATATCGTTTGCATCAACATCGTGGAATTATCAAAAAAATGAACACGGTACACGCTGGCGAAATGAAACGACTTTTTCAGATTTTCATGTCGCTAATAGCTGGAACTTCGTTTCAAGCAGCCGGTTGTGTTGTTCTTTACAGTAGGCTTTTGAAGGCGGCGAGGCCTCCAAATGATGAATGAATGGGATTCGCTTCAAAAGCTTTCATCATCACCATCATCACCATTGCATGCGGATGTAGTCTCAGTGTTATTTTCACATTAATTTGCGGTCGTTGAATATTTCTATTATTTTGAATTTGCCAGTTTGTAGTCGTGTGGTCGAGTAACATTGAAACCACTGTTCGAAAGTCCGAAATACAATACTCGGACACTTGTTTCATCACAATCCAGGACCGGGAAAATCAATATTTACTGTCAAGAATTGTATGCTAAATTCCTATTTCCCTGCCGTTCCTGCGACTTTGATTGTACATATGTAAGGTGACGTGACTCCAAATGACCCATTCGATCACAAGGAATCAATTCACCCCCATGCTTTGCTTGCGATGGAGACCTCGTGGCAATGATACTGTAGCAAAGTACCGAACAAAACATCGAACGAGGTTGGAGACCAACATAAACGAGCAAGGGCATTGAAACTGAAAACAAAGTAATCCATCTGATTGATTCATTTACCACGATGCCACTTGGCAATTTTTGCAGGATAGATCGAAGTTTCATCGACGCTAATGGATAATGTTATATCTGTGTATTATAGATATATATCTTGGAAAACGTGTTTCTGGGTTCTTGATATCTTCCCTGCTGTCCAGCGCAGATGAGATGAATGAATGAATCGAATCCAGCCATTATTGGAACCCATGCTTATCGTGAAATTGTCAATCTCGCATTCGCAGTTTTCTCATCAATATTTCGGCTTCCACTGTTGCAGCCACTGGTTTGGTTCCCTTCAAGCGTGGAATCCAGAGCTACATCTTCGTTTTTCCGTGGTGGTGATCGTTTTAAGAATCATAAGACTAGTAGTAGCCTACCCTAGTACCAATATCAATATCGATACCACTCCGTCCACCATTCTCTGCTTATTCGTAGGCACCAACCATCTCCAAGTCTTGGGTGGCCAATATATCATTGACACAATCCTTGATGGAAAGAGGATCGGACATGACACGGAAACAAGCGTGTTCCGCTTGGGCATAGGAAATTTGCGAGTCGGCCAAATGGCGTCGGCGTTCTCCGCGTGGGTCCTTTGGTTTCCAGCAGGGTTCGGGGAATTGGGGGCGAGAGGCTTCCCGGAAGAGTCGCTTTTCGTACGGAAGGACTTGCCACTGGTCACCAAGATTTGTGAAATCGTCAATAGCAGTGATACCATCACGAGCATGTGTTTTCCCAGTCATGTAGTCTCCAAGAAGACCGACCGTATTGCCAAAGACGGATTCATCACCATTGAATTGGAGACGAACAAACTCCTTGTATACTTGAACAACAATTGAAGAATTGGGATTCAAGTCAATGGTGTAATGGCGCTTGTAAGCAGAGGGAGCGCTCTGGGTAACGGAAAAGCCAGCAAAGTTGTCCAGGTCTCCTTGGTACTCGTAGTTGATCCAGTAGTGGGCTTGCTCATCAGCAATCGTGGATCCTTCAATCTCCAAGATATCATTGCCAATCTGAATGGCAATACTTTGAATGTAGGACCAGTACCCAACAATCTTGGTACGGATGTGAACGTGTAATCCAAGGCCTTGGGCAAAGACTTCGTCTTTCATCATCACGACGTCGCACTGACCATCGTACTTGTAATGCTCATTGTTCCAAGTGATTATATGCGTGTTGCCACCTCCACCAGGTGGTAGTAATGGGCTTCGTATGGCTGCTGAGAGACCTTCTCCATTGAATGTTGTGTCATATTCGATTTCTTTTCCTTCGTGACCCTTGTTGTTATTGTTCTTTTTCTTTTTGGTGGTCGTGCTGGTAACATCACCACTGCGACCACTTGCACGAGCATGCAACAGAACGGTAGACAAGAGAGTGATGATCAATTCGAACTTCATGGTAAATAGATATGCTGTATGGCTTTCCAAAATGATGGAAACTTGTGAAAGTAGTCGTAAACAAGATGTTTGGATCCTACTACGAAGTTTTTCCACTGGTGCATGATTTGAGATATTGAGGTTCACGTAATATTTTCCAGGGATACTTCACGTTGGGGATTTTGAAACTGCATATCCCGAATCCCCGAAAGGACCGATTTCAAAATAGAATATCCCCGTAATGTTGTTTTGTGCTGTACGATGGATGGGGTTCTGACCAAAACTTCATAGAGGAATTATATTCCATGGAAAGGAATGAATAACAAAGGATCGAGTGAATAAAACATGAGATTCATTCCACAGCAAACAAGCTATTTGTATACATATTTCACCTACCGGTGTCATCAGCTTCGGCGTCATCAGCATCAGCATCGTCATCAGCATCGTCATCAGCATCGTCATCAGCATTCATCGTCATCAGCATCGTCATCAGCATTCGTCATCGTCATCGTCATCAGCATCGTCATCAGCATTGTCATCGTCATCAGCATCGTCATCAGCATCGTCATCATCATCGTCATCAGAGCATTGTCATTAGCATTGTCATCATCATTGTCATCAGCATCGTCATCATCATCGTCATCGTCATCAGCATCGTCAGCATCATCGGCATCGGCATGGGCATCACCATCACCACCATCACCACCATCACCCTCATCAGCATCATCAGCATCATCAGCATCACCATCACAGCTGAACAGCGATTCTGCTTCAAGTCTAAGTTCATCTGAATACGCCGACGCGTCACCAATGTCATCGCATCATCATGCTAACAACCAACGCCAGTATAGCACCAAGACGTCGCAAATTCATGCTAGCAAACAACATCTATTGTTTCAATGGCACTCATGCTGTTGCGAACCATCGGTATGGCTGGCAATCGGAAATTAAGACCACAATGGACTGTACCTGGGTGGAATGGTTGAAGGTTAATCACACATGCAAAACTTGTCGCGATTTGCCGGAGGATATGGCAGTGACCTTTCTCGATCCTGGGACGAATTGGGTCCCTGATGTCTGTTAGATATTATATGCGGTATAATATTTGACTGAGGTTTTTGAGATTCCAGATTCCTTGGTGAAAGTGAATTGACGCGATGACCAACCAATAACGTAGTGAAAAGAATTGTTCATTCTTTTCAGTAAACCATCTAGATTGATTGTTGTTGCAACTTTGATTGAGTGCAGAATAGTTGATACTATAGTTATGGAACTGAAGTAGATAGTCATCAGTGCATGTAGACCTGATTGGTCACATGGACAATGCAGAGTTAATGACTCCTCGCATCTGAATGATTATTTTGAAGATAGTCGTCCTATTTTCTATTTCTAACAGATGTCACCATGTTGCGTCAAATGTTTTTGGACGGTCACAATTCCAATGGGAATCCTTGGCCGCCTCCATTGCCAAAAGAACTATGCAATATGGTGAACAGTTTCAAAAACACGAGGAGATTGCTGGATGAGGCACAGATAGTTGGGGCGCCAATTTTGAGAACGCCAGAAACAAAGAACAACAAAGTTTTGTGCTTCATATATACCATGGAGAAGAAGCACAACACTTCCATTCGAGCGATGCGGGAAACCTGGGCACCAGGCTGTGATGGGTTCCTTGCCTTGTCAACAAAGTCTAATCCTCAGATACCTGCCATTAGTGTTCCGCATAGGGGAAAAGAAAAGTACGGCAACATGTGGCAAAAGATTTCGAGCATGTTCCAATTTGTTGGAAAACACTATCTATTGGAATTCGGTTGGTTCTACATGGGTGGCAATGACCTTGTGGTCTACCCGCAAAACTTGAAAAACTATCTTGGAACCATTAATTCTAGCGAACCTCACTATTTTGGGAGACGCTTCATTTTTAATACTGAAGGGGCTGGCTATGTTCTCTTGCAACCGGCCCTTCAGTGCTTACTCAAAAACTAGGAGGAAAAGATTTGCGGACCATGGAAGACGACATGACGACAATTTGCTTGGAACGTGCCTGTAATATCACTTACGAGGACACAGGAGATGATCAAATGCGGGAGCGATTTCATCATTGGATGCCCAATTTTGAGTATTTCTACAGAGGTAGAAAGTTCTTGTATTATGATTTCATTAAAGAATGGGGACTTCTGTTGGGGAATCAAAGCTGCTCGTCCAAAACTGTCAACTTCCATTATATCAAGAATCCAACCATGGCTTGGTACCTTTATCACTAAGGGATGGTGTTGGACACCAACAAATCAATGGAGGACAAGCATTATTTTGACAATAACTTGAAACGCTGCAGGTGTTGGCAAGCAAAGGACGGACTGATCAGAACGCCCAAGTACGTATACAGTAGCAGAACAGTGGTAAGCTACGTACCAATAGAGGTTGTGAAAGAAGTTGGTAAACAAGCTGCAGCTCAGTTGCAGCTCATTCCTTTTGAAAAGACTGCTCTGTATTTGACAGAGTGAAATTGAAGTCTAGGAATTGATAGTTGTTAATATCATCATCATGACCATTATGGACTTCACCATGCGCAAAAAGAGCTACCGCTACCTCACCACCCAGGCGAGCTACCCAAACCATGATTCCAAGGCGGTTCTCGATGCCTTTGATCCCACCAAGGACCTTCAGTTGCAAGATCTGAACAGCCTTGTTGAAAGGGCGTACAAGGAGGTGCCCTGGCCTGGTACACGGGATGGCCCAAGGAACAGGTGAACACCTTTAATTTTTGGCATCGGCCAATGATTCGATACACCACGGTTAGCGAAAAGAAAGAACAGCATTTCAATAAGTTATATGTGCTGGACCACGACGTTCTAGAGAACGGGAGCGACCCACTGGCATTCTCTTGGCCGGCAAAGACCTTCTCAAAAACTGATCCGGTTAAGGTTCCAAAGTTGGAGGCGTGGTTGATAAACGAGGAGCTCGAGCAGGATCAATCCAAGGTGTTTGTGATGGAGGATATTACTGACAAAGATCCTGAGACGGCTTATGACCTACTGGTTACACGCAAGCGAATGCCCATTCCCAAGGACTTCTTGGATATCACTTGGGACGGAACGTTGGCACGAGAAGTCTTGCGATTGGTGATTGACAGAATCAAGATGCTCACCAACAGTGAGGAGCCCAAAAAATTTCGGAAGTGCAGGAAAAGTTCCGGCACTTTGTGGACCATTGGCGCGTGGCAAACACGGTCATCAGGAGAGATCAGCTTTCGAAGAACGTCAGAGAACCTGCTGTTCTCACTGCGACATCGGCCCGATGTTGGGTTTCCGGAGTAATCAGTTTGGATTTCGCCGGATTGGACTCGGAGGACTCAGATTCCCCCGACAAGACCTACGAACTGCTCACCAAGACCTTGGTAGCCGTTGAGGAGAGTAAAAAGGCGACCAAGACCTCCGTGGAATCGCTTTCGGAGGTAGTGGTAGCGGGCATCCATGGCCAAGCATCGGACAAGGCGCCCCCAAATACAGTGGAAAAGAAGTGGTCCACAAGGCTCTCCTATCTGACGTGAGTTGCTGGTACTACGACCTCAGCTCAGCTCCCCACCCTCTGGCACGAGCTAGCAAAGTGTAAGAAGCATGAATCAATCGGAATTGTGCAGTCCCTGCTGGACGACAAGGCAGAGAAGATGAACCTCAATTTGGAATTCCTCGTTTCAGCCCAAGTAATTAAAGCTTGGTGGAACTGGAACTTTGTTTGCGCGGCAACGTGGAAAAGGGTTTGAACGTGTTTAATAGTGTCTGTTTCCAGCACTACAAAAATGGAAATGCGATCAATGATTACAACAAGAGCGATTATTGGTTGACGGGCAAAAAGACGGCCGCTTCAATGAAAGATCATCAAGCCCACGACAAGATCAAGCACGCTATCCCCAAAGGATCCCATGCAGTTCCGTGAGATGGTCACAGGTATGCGGGTATTCTACCGTGTAGTGTTTGGAGTAACACATCCACTGACAGCTGTCTACAAAAAATTTGCCAAGAACGTGGATTCCATTGCACAAAAGTTGGGAGTGTCCCTTCAAGAGCGAGCTCTCGAGAGATTTCTATTCGGAATCTATTCCCAAATTGATCGTTACTTTGAGCCTTTGGTTAGATCCAGCACGAATGCAGAAGAAAACCTACCCGACTTGGGCACCTACGTGGAGACATGCTACCATGGAGGAAGCCCACCAGAATCCAACTTGTTTGGCGTCGCATGGAACAGGAGGCAAGACGGAGAGTCAACTGAAGAGAGAAAGGAAAGGGCCCAGAAGAAGAGCCTGGGCGAATCAGTAAAAAATTCTGACATGAACGAAGAACATCACTACACCGGAAGAACTAAGACTGAGTTAATCAAACGGACAGGCAAACAGCCTCCAAAGCACGCCGACGGAAAAGAACTGTGCCTCATTTGGCACACAAAGGGCGAATGCAAGGAGAACTGTGAACGTAAGCATTCCCATTGTAAGCTGACTGACGAGGAAGCAACTGCGATGAAGGATTATGCAAATATGAATAAGTGAGATGGAGGCCAAGAATCATCGGATTCTTGCAGGCCATCTCAATCGGACACTTTAGTTAAGATCTACTTTAATTGGAGGTAGTGCTAATACTATAGGTGAGCTGGTTGCGTTGGCTAATGAAACTTATTTAAAACACGGTTGTTCAGATGATGCTGCACCAGACATTGGTAAGCTTCCGCACCCTGCCGCTCCAATGCTATACCGAGTAAAAAAAATGGGGCTCCTGTGGTAGTTCATTCGGAGCCATGGATCCAGAGCCAACTTGACATGCAAGTAGCTTGGGGCTGTCATGCATCAGCAAACGAATTCAAAAAGTTTCTGATGGAGGAGTTTTTGGATTTTGGAAGGAAGGGATTTTGGATCCTACTTCCATATGATGCAATCAAGGACGAAAAAGGACTTTGCCCTTTTCCAATTGGCTGTGTACCACAAGATAACAGAAGACCTCGGATGATTGTTGATTATTCGTTCTGGGGACTCAACGACGAGACAATGAAACTTGCCCCAGAGGGAGCTATGCAATTTGGCAAGGCCCAACTACGCATCCGAGAGGCACTCATGAAGGCAAACCCAGAATATGGGCCAGTTTACAGGTACAAGAATGACATGTCTGATGGTTTCTACCGCATTTGACTGTCAGCTTCTGGCGCACTCAAGCTTGGGGTCATTTAACCGCGATTTGAGGGACTCCCACAATTGGTCGCACTACCACTTGTGCTGCCAATGGGTTGGACCAAAAGTCCTCCATGGTTCTGTGCTTTCACATAAACGGTTGCCGACTTGACAAATGTTGACTTGCAACAAAACAAGCAAGTGCCACCCCACTCTTTGGGAAAAGCAGCAGCCATCACTGACTTTGAAGTGAAGGACACACATGTCGTGAGATCCATACCAAAATCTCACCAGCCACTGACTTACCAGCGCACAGTAAAAAAGATGGAAGTATTCATGGACGATTTTGTTGGAATGGGCCAAGACCATCCCAGCAATCCCTTGGAAAATCAGCGAGCCGTTCTCAGCCACAACATTGACAAGGTCTTCCAACCAAATCGACCCACGGACAACCAATGGCGAAAAGAGCCACAGTCACAATCAAAAATGGCCAAGGGAGATGCCTCTTGGCACACAGTTAAAGAAGCCTTGGGTTGGAACTGGGGAGCGACGACAAAGACATTGCAATTGAAGGAAAAACGAGTGAGCAAGGCCCTGGCACTCCTTGGCGAGGTCCTGGATTGCAAACGAGTCTCCCTGAAACGATGGCAGCAGGTGTTAGGAGTCTTACGAAGCCTGCAGCCAGGAATGTTGGGCAGTGAGGGACATTTCTCCTTGCTGCAAGATGCATTGATTTGGCAGTGGATTGTAGGGTGCGGTTGACTCTTCCAAGATTTTTGCCATGCAAAGCGCCCCACAACACTTGAGGAACTGGTGCCAGGCGTTGATTTACACGTTGGCGCCTGCAATGCGGCAAAGTCTGGAAGGGTAGGAGTGTGGTGCGAACCATATCAAGAAGAAGTGAAAAGGGAGGTTATCTTGGATCAAAATCTTACAGGAAAACTTACCAAGTCCGATCTGGAACTGGAAGGCACCGTCCTTCATCATTTTATCCTTGGGAAAACTGCCCAGGTGGAAGGCAAGACCACTTATACTGGCTGCAACAACACCCCAGCAGTGTCGGGGCGCACAAAAGGATCCTCCGTATCCCAAAAGGCGAGAGCAAGAATACTACGGTTAGCAGCAGGATTGCAACGGGAACAAAGAGCGCATCATCATATTGAGCACTTGTCTGGAGTGGACAATCGAATGGCCAACAATTCTAGCCGACTGTGGCACCTTTCTGATGACGATTTTGTCTCATACTTTAATCGCACTTATCCACAGATCAACTCTTGGCAACTGTACAGGATGCCGACCGCCGTGATCTCCTTGATGACATCCGTGCTGTTGAACTTGGAATCGAATGCGGAGTCTGTCCTTCAAGAGTTGCAAAGGCACACTCTGTCTGGACCACATGGGTTGCCTTCTGCAACAGCCTCACCCTCGACCCAGGATTGTCAACGGTCGATGATCCCTTGCTCATCATCCTTCTTTTTGGAACCCAATGGCGACGTGGAAAAATTGCCCCCAGTAAGAGACAGGCCCAGGGTCGAACGGCTGAAGATGCCATGCGCCAGGTGGGCCAGACCATTTCCTCATTGGGACTGCTCGATCCGAGGATGAATCGATATGCACCGGGCACCATGGACTTTCGTTGGACGCGGCTGCTGAAAAGTTGGAAGAAGGCGGATCCAGCGGCACAACGAGTTCGCCCATTGCTAAAGGCCTTGTTACGGCAAGCGTCCAAGCTAGCCAAAAACCCACCAGTACCAATGCCGCAAAGGCTATGAATCGATTGTTGTGGCTGGGTTTTTTCTTTTTTTTACGTCCAGTCGAATTTCTGTCAAAGGCGGGAACGCAATTTCCCTTCAAGTTGAAGCAGGTGTTTTTTCGTATCAACAACGCAGAATTTCGTGGCGACGTCATTCCCCTTCGCCTCCTGGACACGTCACTTGTGACATTCGCCGGTCTGATATTTGACAAACAAACAAAATGCGGTGCCAGACGAAAATATCGGTTTGGGCACGTCATTTAATGGTGACAACCCAACAGCTACGCTGATTGCCATTGTGCGGCACCTTTGACAGAGTCAACACACGACTGGCAACACCCCACTGTTCACCTACTACTCCAAGTTTGGAGTCGCTTGCAATGTCACAGATCGAATGATGTCAAAATATTTGAGAGCAGTTGCTCTCTCAGTGGAGGTCGATCGACCTCCCACAATTGGTGCTCTTCGATGCACCGGGGCTACCGCGCTTCCCGAAAGCAATATCCCAACTAGTCTCATCAAACTACTTGGTCGATGGCTCTCAGATGAAGTTTTTTGGTATCTTCACACCCAGTCCGAGCCTTTGATGCAATGCTTGACCAATGTTCTTGTTGAGCACGTCGGACACTAGCGTTTTTCCCACCCACCACACCCTGGACGGCAACAAGATGGCCGAATGGAGGAAACCAGCGCTTGCGCTGGGGGATTGGGGGCCAACAGCTAGTAATGACTGTCAGCCCAAAAACATCATTGAAACTCTTTTAGGCCCAACTCGAGTCTGCAAAATTCAAAGCGATTGAGAAGGATGAGCAATCGCTGCAGGTGTTGGCTAGCAAAGGACAGACTGATCAGAACGCCCAAGTACGTATGCGAAGAAGGTACAGTAGCAGAACAGTGGAAAGCTATGTACCAATAGAGGTTGTGAAAGAAGTTGGTAAACGAGCTGCAGCTCAGTTGCAGCTCATTCCTTTTGAAAGGACTGCTCTGTATTTGACAGAGTGAAATTGAAGTCTAGGAATAGATTTCCCTAGTCCCACCTCACCCTTGGAGGAAACCAGTGCTTGTGCTGGGGAATTGGGGGCCAACAGCTACTAACAACTGTCAGCCCAAAAACATCATTGAAACTCTTTTAGGCCCAATTGGAGTCTGCAAAATCCAAAGCGATTGAGAAGGATGAGCAATCGCTTCTATTCTGGTACCAAATTCCACATGGTCGAACTAGTCAAAAACGGCTGCCATCAAAACTTCCCGCATGCAGTATACATGCAGTACATACAATATTCTCTCATCTATAGACAATCACCCTACAATACAAGCACAACACCTCATGTTGTATACTATCAGACATATTCATTACATTATATTTAGCGTATAAACCCATTCCCCATTCCATATACTATATTATGGCTGCTCCGTTATACTCTGGGCCGAATCAGTCGCTCTCTAGCTTTTGCCAAACGAAGGTTCTTGCGTGCTAATTGGTATTCGGTTTGAGCTTGTTGAAGATCCAACACAAAGGGTTCCATGTATGTATCTAGGCTTGAGACGCCTTCTTCCGCTTGCATCTGTTTGTAACGCCGCAAAATCTTTTGACGATTGGTTTCTTGCTTGGGCTTGGTCAGTTCTTCAATGACCTTCTCACCATCAAGTCGAGCTTCATTTAGCATTCGAATCAAAACATCTTTTTCCTTATGATCTTCTATTAAAGTTGCCTTCTCTTGTGCCACCTGTTCAAGCTTCATAGCCAAGCTGGTGCTCTCTGCAGTTTGCTGTTTGTAATCAGATTCCAACTGCTGCAACCGCTTATTTGCTTCCATCAAGGAGGTGTCCAGAGAATCAATCAGCAGACCTTGTTCAGTAGCTTCAGAGTGAATAGATTTGATCAATTCTTCTTTTTCTTTGAGCTTGATTTTGAACTTCCGAGAATGGTCTTGGAGATCCAGACGTAAATGCATCTTTTCCTCCCTGACTCGCTCAAGTTGCTCTTGGCGATCATCCAGAATATCTTTCACACGTTTGGACTCATCTTCAAGCTCTGCCTTCAACTGGTGTATCTTTGTTTCTTTTTCAGCAATCTCCTCAGTTCTGTGACGAAGTTGGTACTTTGTTTCATCAAAGTCCTTGAGTTTGTTTTCCAAATGATCAAGCTTTCCCTTCAATTTTTTGATTTCTGTGTCCTTTTCGCTGCGAATCAACACCAAAGAATCTATGGTCAACTCGTTTTCTTCAAGTTCTTTGACAATGTGAACATTGCTGTGCTTTTCTGCAAGGAGCCGTTCAAGTCTAGTGATCTTTGCATCCTTTTCATTCAAAGCTTTGTTCAGTAGCGATATTAAGGCTTCCTGCTCTCTTTGTTTAGATCGGAGCATTTCAATGATCTCGTCCTTCTTACATGTTGAATGCCGCAGCTCAACAATTTTGCCATCAAGGTGGATTTCTGGGCTGACTAGCTTCTCATTCCCAATGGTTGTCTTGGCTTCACCTTTGTCCAATGGGTCAAAGTGCCTTGGTTTCGATTGTGCAAGCTGCCAGCCTTGAAAGTCTTCAATGATGATGCTTTCAGACTTTTCTCCAGTTGATGATGAATGGGATTCCAAGACACAGGCACTTGAATCAGAGTCTTTTTCACTGACCAGCACTTCCAATTCTTTGCATCGATGCTTTTCCAAATCAATTTCTTCTTGTAGTGATGTAATGAGAAGCTTGTTTGCGGCAATCTTCTGTTGAGCGCTGTGTAATTTCTTGCTCATTGAGATGGCTGGTACTTCTGTTGAATGAGATTCCATTGTTTCGCCCGGTGTCATGTCACCAATAGCCTCTACTGCCATTCTTAGTCTTTTGTTATCGTCTTGCAAACGTTGCATTTGCATGTTTGTATGCTTCAGTGCGATATCCTTTTCATCCAAGTCACTGGCAAGCGATTCAGTTTGCTCCATCATATCACTCAGTTGCATGCGTAACATTCCAATTTCGTCAAACAAGTCATGTGCCAAGTGTTGTTGGCTAAATCGAGGGTTTGTGCCAGATGTGTCTGATGTTGTTGTGGTGGTATTTTGATGGGGCTGATTGATTTCCATTTTGCTTTTCTCCAAGAAACCGAAAGAGAAAACTCCATGGTCCTGGCCTGATCTGTCTCTTTTGACTGGTGCAGAATCACCATCAATAGCATGTTGTTTAAGAGATGCTACAGCCTTCTCTAACTCCAGTTTTGACCCTGCAATTGTTTCAATTTTACTTTGGCTTTCTTTCAGCTCTCTTTCTAGTTCTTCTACTTTATGGCCATGGTCTTGAGCAGCATCACCAGGGTAGTTCTTGATGATCGATTCCTTTTCCTTCAAAAGGTCTTGTAGGCAATTGATCTCATCTTGCTTTTTCTTCAACGTAGATTCCTTTATCTTCAATTGCGACTGGACAAGCTCAATCTTAGCATTCAAGTCCCCTGATCTAACGGGAGATGGCATGGAATAATACTTGGAACGGTATATTTTCCCAACTGATGATGCACCTTTACCCAGTGTCATCCGGCTGCTGGAATCAAGTGCTTCCACTGCAACCAACGACCATTCCGAGGTTGACATATTTTCTTTCAAAAGACTCTGGAGATCTGAAATCTCATCTTCTCTTCTTTTCAGAGTGGATTCTTTCATTTTCAATTGTAATTGTAGCAGCTCAATCTTGGCCTTCATATCGCTGGCAGGGTTGCCTATCTTTTCTGCGAATTTACTATTCTCCCCCCTTTCATTTTCAAGCTCACTTTGAACCTGCTCTAGATCATGTGAAAGCAAGTGGAGCTTGAATGCGTGCCTATTCTGTAGGTTGCCAATTTCCTTCTCAAGCATAGCTTGTTTTTGCAAGCATGCAGTGGCAAATGCTTCTGACTTTTCCAACACAGTGGTACTGTCTTTCCGTTTGGCTTCAATATCCAAAATCCGCAACTGAAGCTGCCCCAATTCATTCTTCACAAGTGCTGTTTGTTGGTTGGCTGCATGTACCCGTTCATCTGCATGCACCATGTTTTGCTTCATTAACCGTTTTGCCTCTACTGCACTCTCTCTTTCTGACTGTAGACTAGCAAACATGGCAGACAGCGATGTCGATTCTAGTTGGCCATCATTTGCTGATAGTTGTGAATGAACCTGATTGCCTTTGACTCTCAAAGAAGCCTCCTTCTCTTGTAGATCAAAAGTAAGCTGGCCCACTTTCCTTTTCAATTCTGAAAGCTCATCCAATAGGTTTGACTCCTTCACCTCAGCATTTTCCAAGCTGTCCTTAAGAGCAGCAATTTCTGACAGAGCTGTATCTTTTGCATCTGACAAAAGTGTAAGCTGCTCTTTCAACTCCACCACATTTGTTGTTTGGTCCTCTATCTTTGAATATCCTTCTATTTGTGATGACTGCTCTGCGATCAGCCCATGTGCGGCATCCAAATCATTTTTCAAGCGATCAATTTCAGCTTGATCAGAGGTGTGTGCCTCGTCATTTCTACCCACCAACTCAATTTCTGTTTGTTCCTCTTCCATTTGCTGCATTGACTCAGTCACATCTTCTTGCAACTGTGCCTGGACATCAATTGGTCCTTCCAATTGCTGCTTGATGGCCTGGGTTTCACCCAAAGCTGCTTCAAGGCTTGCCTTGAGCTCGGATATTTCGTTAAGCATTCTCTTTGTTGCACTGTCTTCTTGTGCCAACTGTTGCCTTAGTTCGTCCACCAGACAGGTCAAAGTTGCATTATTTGTGTCAATTTTTGCCTTCTCTTGTTCCAATGCAGTGTACTGCTCTTTTAATGCCTTTGCACTTCCTAACGCAGATTGGGCTTCCTGCGTTTTTGTTTGCATTTTGTCCCAATTGATTTCTGCATGTCGTTCAATAGTACGCTTCTCATCAATGGCTTCATCGAGCGCTCTATTGGCATTTTGCAATTGCGTTTGTACTTTTATAGTCTCTTCCTTTGCTAACTTCCTAGCTTCAGATTCTTCCACAACCTGCTTCTCTAAATCATCTAAGATTTCTTTGAGCTTGCTATTTTTTCCCTCTGTGGACGCATTCTGTTCGGCTAAGGATATGAACTGTTGCTGTAGCTGAACTGTTTTTGTCTCTGTATCTTTCAACATGGTTTGTGTTACTTGAAGCTCTTTTTCTGCTGCCAACAGCTGTTCCTCCAATGCAGCTCCTGATGCCTTTGAGCGCCTAAGCTCAGATTGGACTTCTTGTAATTCCTCTTCCATATCAGTTGTCATTTGCTCCAGCTCTTGTTTCATAGTTTCAGCACCCTCCAGTGATGATTCAAGATGGCTATGAAGTTGTGATTGTTCCTTCATTGCTGCTTCTTTTGCAGCAGTTTCAACTACTAAATGATTCATCAGATCATCAATCGCAACCTTCAATTTGATATTGCTCTCCTCAATTGATGACTTTTCATCTTCCAAAGCATCAAACTGGTCTTCCAGATCCATGTGAGCTGCCACGGAATCTTCAAGTGCCTTCTCCATTCTCTCAATTTTTTGGAGAACTTCAGAAGAAGGCTCAGAGACTGGTTGCTGGTTTGCTGATCCCTCCATTTCAAGAACAACAGATTCTAAACTGCTTTGTAGCAATGCATTTTCTTTGATTGCTGCTTCTTTTGCACTTGTTTCCTCCACCAAAAGATTTTTTAGACTTTCAACAGCATCTTTCAATTCATCATTGCTTTCCTCAATTGATAATTTCTCTTCTTCCAAGGCATCAAACTGGTCTTCAAGAACCATGTGAGCCGCAACAGAATCTTCAAGTGCCTTTTCCATTCTCTCAATTTTTTCAGAATCTTCAGAAGAAGGATAAGAGACTGTTTGCTTGTTTGCTGATCCCTCCATTGGAAAAACTGCCAAATCTTGATGTCTTTGTAGTAATGCTTGTTCTTCCATTGCTGCTTCTTTTGCAACAGTTTCCTCCTCCAATTTATTTTTTAGCTTATCGACAGCAACCTTTAAGCAATAATTTTTCTCCTCAATGAACAATTTCTCTCCTTCCAACAAATCATACTGATCCTCAAGATCCATTTGAGCGGCAAGAGAATCTTCAAGCGCTTTCTCCAACCTTGCAATCTTTTGACGAAAATCACGAGAAGGGTCATACAATACATGCTGCATTTCCGATGAATTTTCAGGGTGAGGAGTTGATGCTTCATCTCCATCAGTTGAAGTGAATTCTTCAGAAGAATCATCGAAATCATCTGCAGCAATATTGAGAGATGGTAGTGTCTTCTCTATCAAATCGCTATCCCTCAGAGCTGACTCAAGCAAACCAAATACCTCCGACTTTGACTCCTTCACTTCCTGGGCATTCTCCAAATCAGCCTTCAATGCAGAAGTCTCCTCCAGCGCAGCTGATCGGGCCTCCGAAGCAGCCGCCAGATCCTCCTCCAGGCGGTCCACCATATCCTTCAGCTCTTCGATCGCGTCCTCGCTTGCTGAAAGCTTGTTCTCAAGTTCGGCCTTTTGATTTGCAGCCTCTTTGAGATCCAACTTGGACTGTTGCAGCAGCAATTTGGTTTCATTGGCACTGCTGGACTCCATCTTCGCTTCCTCAAGCATTTGCTTTGTAACCTCCTTCTCTTCCTGGGCCTTCTCCAAATCAGCCTTCAATGCAGAAGTCTCCTCCAGCGCAGCTGATCGGGCCTCCGAAGCAGCCGCCAGATCCTCCTCCAGGCGGTCCACCATATCCTTCAGCTCTTCGATCGCGTCCTCGCTTGCTGAAAGCTTGTTCTCAAGTTCGGCCTTTTGATTTGCAGCCTCTTTGAGATCCAACTTGGACTGTTGCAGCAGCAATTTGGTTTCATTGGCACTGCTGGACTCCATCTTCG